TAGCGTAACAACAGAAGACTTTATGAATGTAAGATCTGAGGGTAATCGAAGTATAACAAGAGGTGTTACGGTGGAAATCCCCGAATTGAAGTGGGAAGATATAGGAGGATTAAAAGATGTGAAGGTGTGTAAATTTTCGTGTTTATCTTAGTTTGAAGTCTCACAGACGGTACTAATTATACTTCACCTTCTCATTGACAGGAAACCCTCAAGGAAGCTCTTGAGGGGCCTCTTACATATGCTACACAGCAGAAAAGGCTGGGAATATCACCCATGCGTGGAATTCTTCTCTATGGTCCTCCAGGATGCTCAAAAACCACCCTTGCTAAAGCTGCTGCACATGCTACCCAAGCTTGTTTTTTTTCTTTGAGGTACGATCTTCTTTAAATCAGTCTATTTAAGCCTAAATTACACTGGAAGTTTTACAATTATAATTAGTCTATTTGACAAAGTAGAAGAGATGCGCATGCCTGAATTTCATATACTTTGAATCAGTGGTGCGGATTTGTTTTCAAAGTATGTTGGAGAGGGTGAAGCCTTACTGCGCAATACCTTTCGGATTGCTCGCCTTACAGCACCAAGCATAATATTCTTTGATGAGGTGGATATTATTGGTAATAAAAGGTAAGTAACTTAATGTGTTGCAGTTATATATGGGACTAATCTGCACATTGATGATTTGTTATTTTGTGTATTGGAGCAAGTACACTTAATCCAATGAGAATTTCCTTGATGAACTCCTACTTACATACAAGTCCCACAACTTTTTTGCTTGACTTAAATGGGCAGAGGTGACAGTTCAAGCAACAACAGTACCGTTGGAGAAAGGATTCTGTCTACTTTGCTGAATGAAATGGATGGTTTAGTAGAGGCCAAGGTAAGCACTACATCCCATTAAATTCTCTTGCTTGTGCAATAATTTTAAGATTAATTTGTGCGTGGTATCCATGCTGCATTAATTCTCATTTTCCTGTGCCTTAAATTGTACCCTCCTTTGGTTTTCAGGGAGTCTTTGTTTTGGCTGCTACGAATCGTCTTTCTGCAGTGGATCCTGCATTACTTCGCCCAGGACGCTTTGATTTGGTAAGAAGTTTGTTCTATCATGCGACTTTGCCGTGTTATTTTTCAATTAATTTTTTTCCCACCTTTTTCCTTTTGTTCTGGTTGTGGTTGAGGTCCTTTATCCTGGTCTGGTTGTCGATGTGCGATGTTCCAAACTCTATAGGAAACAAAACTTGGGCGGTGTCAAAGAGATCAGTTAACTCTGTTATTTTATGAACTTTGTAGGAGCTCTTTGTACCACCTCCAGATGTAGAAGGTCGATACGAGATACTTCAGGTACTTACACGTAAGATGAGTGTAGCAGATGATGTTGATCTCAAACAAATAGCAACAGATACTGAGCACTTCACAGGAGCCGAGCTGAAGCTGCTATGCAAGGAAGCTGTAATTTCGGCTATGAGAGAAGACATGGATGCCCCATTTGTGTGCAATCGCCATTTCCAGACTGCAAAAGATTCTGTAAAGCTAAGATTAACCAAAATCAAGCTTGATTCATATTCTTCGACATCAACTGCAGAACGCAATCTTCAAAGACAGTGCAAGGAGTTTCCTTTCCCTTTAAATTTATTTGGGTTAAATACTTTTTTTTTCTGTTAAGTGCAGTTTTTTTATTTTTTATTTTTTAGGAAACACCTTCAGTCTTTTTCCTCTAACTCAAAAACTCAATGAGTTAGGGTATATGTGCTATTAGGGTTTAATAAATTGAGAGAATTCTTGGGTTGAAATTGAAATTGTGGAGTATAAGGAAAATAAAAAAGCCAAATCAAATTAACATGAAACCAACAATTTTCAAATATACTTTGGTGCTCTATCACCCTTGATTATGTCTCCTTGGTTCTCACTCAATTGTTTAAAGCATCAATATAGCATCAACTTATTAAACACACTCAAAACCCATTTATAAACACACCCAAAAAATATACAATTGTTGATTTTTGGGTTGATTTTGGGTGTGTTTCTATGTTTTAAACAATGTTGGGTTTTTTTTTATAAATTCATGTCTAGAATTGAGTTTATCTATAAATTTGTATTTATTAAATCCTAATACCACACATACCCTAACTTGTATAAATAATAAATAAAAAAACCTGCACTCAAAGAAGTTAATGGAAGACAATAGAATGTCTGTAAATTGTAAACTGTGGGAAAATGCAATTTCCAATTTGCGATTTGGCTGGCTTTTTTTTTTTTTTTTTTTTTTGTATTTTTTATTTTTGCTTTCATTATATATTATTATATATATATATATACATATATATTTTCCTTTTATCCATCAATTTAATGCTTCCATTAAATTTTTTTTTTTTGCCAAGAACTTTTTATACTACCATTTTCAATCAATCTCTTTTTCTTAATGGATTATGGGAGAATATGAAAATAGAAGAGAAGAACTAAATCCATATGACAAGCTTACTAAAATTTTGCATAGTTTTCTTATAGAAATATAAGGGCCCGTTTGGTATCCTATTTGGATCCAATTTTATAAACTCAAAAACAAATTTTAAGTCCAAAGTCAAAAAACCTATTTGGTAGGCTCATTTTCAAAAACCCAAACTAAAAAACACCCTTATTATTGAAAACAAAAAAAGTTAGATTTTAGACTCTCTCTCTCTCTTGCAGGTTTTCCATCAATCAATCTTTTTTTTTTTTTTTTTTTTTTTTTTTTTTTTTTTCTTATCTTCTCTCTCTCATTTTCTTCTCTCCATCTTCTCTCTCTTTTTTTTCGCAGGTCTCCCAGATCTCTCTCTCTCTCTCTCTCTCTCTCCTCTCTCATCTCTCTCTCTCTCTCTCTCTCTCTCTCTCTCTCTCCTCTCTCTCTCTCTCTCTCTCGCAAGTCTTCCAAATCATTCTCTCCATCCTCCCTCTCATCTCTCTTTGTTTCACAGGTCTTCCAAATCTTTCTCTCCATCCTCCTTGTCATATCTCTCTGTTTCGCTGGTCTCCCAGATCTCTGTCTCCATCCTCCCTCCCTCTCTTTCTCCTTTTCTTTTGTTAATTTCAATTTAGGAATCTAGGGTTTCTGATTTTGTAATTTTAATTTTAATTTCAATTTTTTTAGATCTTAAAAATAGTTTGGAGTTCAATACCAAACAAATTTTTAGATTTTAAAATTATTATTTAAAAATTCATGTTTTAAAAAAATGAAATTTGAATTCCTTTTTTGACCAAACAGGCCCTAAGCATCTCCAAACCAGAACCTAGTCAAGTTTTAAACTTTATGAACCATACAAATTTAGCAACATGATCCAAGATGGTTAACCTTTTTTTGTTTTTTCTCTTTTTACTTATGATATGCATAAATTTCTGTTTGGATTATGCTTTAAATAAGATATTGTAGTCTATTAAATTCCACAAACAAAATCATTTTTCAAAAGGTGGGAATCTTCTTGTGTTATTATTTTCACATTAGATATTAGCCCTCGTAACAAATGACTTGACAATTAGTTTGTTTATTAACTATATTCTGTTAAACACAATTTTTTTATTTCATCAATGGAAAGAGGAATTTGAATTTAAATATCTTTCAACATTTAAGAGAAACTAAATAATTGTCAAGTCATTTGACACGTGGGCACCTAATTGCTAGGCTGGTTTTTTTTCTTTCTTTTTTTTTCAGCAAATAGTATAGCCGCACGTTTTTTTTTTGTATAGCCAAACGGGTATACTTGTTTTCATACGTGGGCCCCTGGAAGCTAGGCAGACCTTTTTATTTTCTTTATAAATAGTATAGCCGCACGGCTTTACTTGGGTTTTTTTATATTAAAAAATAGTATATTCGCGAGGCTTTACTTGGGTATCTTTATGCGTGAGAAAGAAGAGAGATTAGAGTATCAAGCAAAAAAGGATACTACCAAGAAAAGAGATTACGTTTCCAAGAAAAAAAGGAGGAGAGAGAGAATTATTTTATTTTATTTTTATGAGAGAGAAAATAAAATTAATGATTGTTTATTTAAAACATTAAAAGCTATTTGTCATGTCAGATTTAATCTCAACCATTAAAAGTGGAGTAATCTAATGACCCAAAAATTGTGTCAAAAATATGATGTCACGGATCTGCCCCCATATATATATATATATATATATATATATATATATATTCTCCACGATTTTCTTTTATCGATAAGAGTATCATTACAATTTACAAACACCCAAAACCCATGAATGAAAATTTCAAATACCGCTCACAGTTTCAGTATTGCCCACCTCACTACGAAAATTAGAATGATCCTCACTATGAAGGCTAAACAACCTAGAGCAAAACTCGAGAAGCTGAACTTCAATTCTTGTTTTAATCAACTTCTCAAACAATCCGGACAGGCCTGTCAATCTAACTACCTACTGCTGTATCAGTACTACTGCAATCCACTCGATCATGATGTATTGTCAATCTAAGTATCAGATACGATCGAGTGATTTTATTCCCCAAGGACCTCAGTCGTCATTGCTGGAATTTTTATCTTGTTACATAGCTCACAATACAAAAGGTAAATTTGAAAATAGATCATTTCCACAGTATACAGGACCAATTAGTGGGATCCAGAATCACACAATACTTCAAATGCATTCAACAAAAATAGCCCTATTGTAGGCTGATTAAAAATTCCAAAAGAACTTTAACAGGGTTGCGCTTAATTGTAATTAGTATAACACTATAACAGGTTCTAGAACATATTCACTTACAGCATATCAACCAAAATAACAAGCACGTTACAAAAATATGGAGTACGACAGAGAGCGTAGTTCTTTTTGCGCTAGAAGCAACACATCCCCGAAAATTTTCTGATAGCTCTTGATGAACCCGAATTTCTGTTGGTTTCACTTGTTTAATTGCAGTCTTGAAATGTTGCATCTTTACTTTTGAGGCGTCAAGGTTCTCCTGATAGAAGAAATAATTATGATTTAATTAGATTTAGAAAAGAAACACTCATGCAACAAAATTAGGAACCATCAACCTTAAAAGCTGCAGCGGCTGCTTGTCGGCAGATGAACGATATATGAGCGCCAGTGCAGCCTTCTGAAAGACGAGCAAGGTCATATATGTTGACATCAGAACTGCATGGAATCTTGCGTAGATGAATATGAAATATCTCTTCCCGATCGGGCTCATCTGGGGGTCCCACATTTAGCAGCAAATCAAAGCGGCCTGTTCAAAAGAAGTATATACTTAGGAATGTTTTTCAAGTTTGTGGAGATATAGCAAGATGCTTGTAGAAAACTCGACCACCTTGAGGTGGGTGAATGTGAAGGTTACAGAAGATGTGTATTTGTGTGTGTGTGTGTGTATGAGAGAGAGAGAGAGAGAGAGAGATGTAGCACCTGGTCTTAGAAGGGCACTATCGATCTTGTCCAGCCTATTTGTAGCAGCAATAACAGTGACATTATCTCTTGCATGCACACCTAATTTTAACAGTATCGATCAAGTCAAAGATACAATAGCAAAAATAATGATTACTTTAAGTGAGCATCCTGGCTAATATAGAACCTACTCTGGATCCAATAATTTAGAACTGTTACTAACCATCCAATTCAACAAGCAGATGACTTATAACCCTATCTGAAACTGAATCACTTTCCTTCCCACGAATACCAGCAAGACCGTCAATTTCATCAAAGAATATGATTGCTGGGGCATTAGCCCTTGCCTTTGCAAACAGGGATTTCACAGCCTTCTCAGAGTCACCAACCCATTTGCTAAAAAGTTCTGGACCCTTCACAGCAAGGAAATTCATCCGTGCTTCAGAAGCTACAGCGCGAGCCATGAGGGTTTTGCTGCATCCAGGAGGACCATACATCAGAACCCCTTCTGGGGGCCATTGCCCTAGCCGCTTAAATGTATCCTGGTGTTTTTGGGGCCATGTTACAGCTTCCATTAACTTATTTTTGACCTCCCTTTGACCACCAACATCTTCCCAATTAACCTTCGGAATCTCAAGTTTTACCTAGAAGTTTAAAGCAACAAATTAAGAGTCAGAGTAGTTATATCAGTGAGAAACATTCCTTCATGCCTGCTGATAGAAAAGTTTCCTACCAATGACAGTCTATAGGGCAACATAATTTATGATAGCAGTGGCCACTTGCATCATTATTAAATGGTTAGTCCAAAACATGGCGCATGATATGTATAAATAATCAAACCACTAAAAAGTTCTCATTTTGAACTCAGAAAAGTACTCTCTTCGAACTGTCAATCCAATAAAAATAAATAACTCCTATTGTCTAGTAGTTCTATAAGAGGAGAAGTTGGACTCAAATAGCTGGCCATTTGATCTGTGCTTGCCCATAAAGAGAAAGTGGAACCTTAACTTCAATTAAACTAGTTTAGGGATCCTGGAACTTTGGTACCCAACATAGACTAAACAAAAATGACTGCATGTAAACATGGAAGTATTGACCCTACCTCTCGCATGGCACTGGGCCCCACTCTCATCCTGGCCTTTTCAAAATCTTCAAAAGACACTTTGAAGACACATTCTTCTTCTATGCCATTCAGAAAATTATCACCATTTGCATTTGTTCCCTTGGAATGTGAGACAGTTGAACATGTGGAATCTGAATAATCCCTTGATACGTGTGTTGTATCTTTTGGGTATTTAAATTTGACATTGCGCCTAAGAAAATTGAAGGATGCCACGTCACAAAGGGCAGCTAGATCAGCTCCGACGAAACCATGTGTAGCATTAGCAAGATCTTGGACTTGCTCCTCTGAAAGAGAGTGCTCCATGTCACCGACAAGAACATGAAGTATCTCCAAACGTTGGTTGGGAGATGGCACACCTGAATGTCAATTTTCAAAAGAAAGATATTATTGATAGTGTCACAGAACAATATTTATTCAGGTACATTTCGAAACACAGATATTACTTGGTACACTTTTCGTAACTCCGAAACTATTCAGAAAGGTTTTGGATATTACAAAAAAATCAGCACTAGGAAAAACTTCATATTACCTATTTCAATTTCCCGGTCAAATCTTCCAGCTCGTCTGAGTGCAGGATCAATGCTATCAAGCGTGTTGGTAGTAGCAATTACAACTACTCCTTCAGTTCTACTAATCCCATCCATCAATGTCATCAGTGTAACAACTATTCTTTCAGATAGCTCTTCACCTCCATCTTTCCTTGCAGGTGCAATAGCATCAATCTCTTCAATGAATACCTGTGGACACAATCCATTAAAGAAAACGAAGTAAAGATATGTGATACTGAATCAACTAGTCTATCAAAGGCAAAAGCTGGGTAATATAATCAAATTAATTAAACTACGTTCCACAAAATATATATTCACTTATAAAATGATACAGCTGTAAGGTCTTCGGTATAGGAGAGCAACTTTTCCAGTATTCCGTTACATTTTCGAAGCATAAGGCGGGATTTGATTCAGTTTTATTAGGCAATTTTGCACCTAGAGAGTATGCAGGTGGGTGTTAGGTTTTGATATACAAAATTAATCAGGGTAGTCTTCACTACATCCCACAAAAAAGGACCCCAAGTTCATGCAATTTTCAGCGTATCCCTAGTATAGTCTCTAGAATTTGCACTTTAATAGATTAACAATCTTAATTTCTAACTTTCTGTAAACTCTGATAATTTCCAAAAATTCCAGGGAAAACCTGTGCCATAATTGTTTGAGACATTTAATGAGCTATCTACAGAGATCACATCAGGGTTCACAATGACTAAAGGCCTGGGCCAATATCAATAGTGCACATGAAAAGGATTAACACAGTTTTGCCAGTGGAATGAAAGTACATAATTGTATATTTTCCTTTACCACCACATGCATCTAAGTTCTAACCAGAAAACCCTTCCAATAGAAGGCTAGAAAATTGAAACAGAGAAGAAACCTAACCACAGAAGGTGCAGCCCGTCTAGCTGAGTCGAAAACTTCAATCAAATCTTGCTCACTTTGAGGTACATTGACAGAGAAAAAATTGATGCCAGAATCACGGGCACATAATCGAGCCAAAGAAGTCTTTCCAGTACCAGGCGGACCATGAAGAACCACTCCCCTTATAGGTCGAAAATCATAGCTATTTAAAAAAGATATGCATGAATTAATGTAATAAAAGAACGACCATAACTTATGAACACATATCAAAAGCATATGTTTCCACCACCATGTGAACAACTAAATTGGTATGGAAGACAAGAATTTCAATTTTTATATTTTCCAAAGATCGGCTATATTTCCTATATACAAATCAGACGACATTGTAATGCCTTATTATTTGGTAATTTAGATTGAATCACATGCAAATTTCGGGTACACTCTTGATAAACAATAATGTTTGATATGACGTACCTTGACAAAGAGTCTGTAGCAGATGAAATTATGATTTCCTTCAAAACTGCATATTCTTCAGAAAGACCGCCCAATCTTGAAATGTTATCTCCTGTAGATAGATTATTGGCTGGGTTTGATGGCAAATGAAAACATACTTTCGTTTCTGGCTTCACTAGAAATGCATCATTTTCACCGCCCACTAGTTCAGAAGCCTCATTCTTTGACAAAGTTTTAGCACCAATCACTCGGAGTAAACAAAGCTGTGAAAGCATTGGGATGGTCACAACATTTCCAATAAGTAGACAGCGAGAATACAACCATGTTGTAGCACATGTCTGCAAAAGTCTTTTTGTACTGTCATCCCTTAAAACCTCTTCAATATCAAAAGAATCAACACATGACTCATTGGGAATGGTTACATTTCCTACTGACTCCCCACGTCGTGGTGAAGTTACTGGACTGGTATCAGAAACACTTAGCTTTGATTGATCCAATGGTGTCTTAGGGGATGCAAGCATTCCATTTTCAGAACGATAGCAAGATTTTTCAGAAGAAAAGTTGGCAGAGGTATTGTTCATAATCAATCTATTGTTAGAATGAAGCACCTCCAAAACTAACTCCTCGCAGTCGTATACCGAGAGGCAATCAACTTTAGTGCTACGTGCTTCTTTTGTATCATACAAAAGACCAGCTTGGGAATGATTTTGTACAGAGTGGATGAATATGACCCTGCCTGATGGAGGACAACCCATTGTATTTGAAATATTTGAAGACAATAGCACTCCGTTCTTTGTAACCTGAGATAAAGGCATCAGTAAAAGTAAAGAAGAGGTTCTAGGGTAAAAATGCAGACCCCAATTGTTGTTGTGACACAATAATTTACTCCAATGAATCAACTATTACAATTCCAGACTCCAAACTCCCAAAGGCAGCAAAAACGTATTTATTTTTAATCAACAAACAAATTGACATATGGAACATCCTTTTACAAAAACAAGTTCATATATGGAACATCCTTTGGGAGATTAGTATCACCCAGTACTGGAGAAAGGGTATTTACTGTTTAGAGTTTAGACGCACACTAATGCCATATGTTTTAAGCTTTAATGCATGGTAATTCATCTGCTGTGCGCATTTTTTTCTGGTTCTTAGAAAAACCATTTGTCACAATTGCCATATCAAATAAAGGGATCAAAAAAAGTAACCCAGTTGCCATTCAAACCTTAGAAGAAGGAAAAATCGTTGCAAGAGCAAAGTAGTTCCCTGCGTCATCGGTTAACTGCCCACAAGAATCAACCCCACAACGTCTAGCACATTCATCTGCTAGTGAGCTAAGAGGAAATCCATCTGACAATCTACTCTTCAAACATGGAAGAGACACCTAAGAAAACATGACACAGTTAAACCAACAACAACAAAAGAAACTAACTTCGGATTTTTGTTTTTACGAAGAGAACATGAAAAAAGTGGAAACTTACCGATACAATGGATCCAGGAGTGAAGGAAGAGGCAACCATGGAAGGCTCAGAAAGCCAAATTTTACGGCTTTTGGGGTCGTCCTGAACATCAGTGACTCGGCCAATGAAAGCAGAGTTCCCAATCAGACATGGGAATTTAACCGAAGCTAGTTCAAGAGAGCCTGCAAAACTCTCTTCAGTATCTTCAAAATCAAGTGATCCAGGTGAAGAAAACTTGTTAGAATTCGACAACTTTGATTGGGTCTTTGAATACTTTTTTCCCTTTGAAGAAGGCATCTTTAAATACAACACTAACAAGGTGGGTGTTTTGGTATGGGGTCCCTGCTATGACTATGAGAAACAAATGGTTTCAGTTGACACAGAAAACAGAGTAAGCAACAGAGAAACAGAGAGGGAACAGGGTGACAAGAAAGACTGCGAGAGGCGCGAAGCACGCTGGAGACGGTTAAACCCGAAGCCGTCCAAGTGTGGGCTACTTATACAAAACGCGTTGACGTGAAGCTCTATTAGGTATTGCTGGTGAATCCGTATTGGGCTTTTCTGGGTCCGATAGAGATTGGGCTTCTTTTCTTTTCTCTTTTTATTTTTGCTCGGATGGCTTTACTTTTTGTGTGAGGCGCCGCCCCCACCATTATAAGGCCTTCTTTAACCCATTTAGTCATAAATTCAAATTTTTATCTTCCAAATAGTAACTATTTGGGATTTGTCTGGACTCAAACCAATTTTTCCTCCAACCCGACTCAAATTTTAAGTTCGCAACTTTATTAAATTGCTTAAGAATGGCTTAGGTCTATTTTTTTTTCATGGATAACTTTTCTTCATTTATTCTTTTTAAATAACTTCATAATTTAATCTTTTGAACAATTTGACCTAAAAAAAATTGAAATTCCATAAATATAATTTTATTTGAGAAATAGGTGGGTATCTATAGAGTTTGGAGTGAGTTTCGGGTTGGATATGATTTAGATTAATTTAAAATATTATTTTAATTGTTGGATTTAAATTTCAGTCGTTGAATCTTTTTTGTTTAACATTAAAATAGTTTTGATTTAATATGGATAGTTGATTTGGTTTACTATTGGAATAATAATAACAATTTTTTTTTTAAAAAAAAAAGAAGTTATGCGAACCAGCTCATGACACCATTCGCGACGACCTCTGCAGCATCAGTAATGCGTGCCCCATTGTTTTCTCCTTGCACAATGGCCTGCATCATGGTTGTGTGGGGTCCACCAAAAAAATTCTAGTTAAGGCAATAGCTGGACTAGTATTTGGCCCCAAGTTTGGGTTTCCCCAAATTTTAGCCCCTCACTTTTCTTGAGTTGGGAGAGGAATTGGGTTATAATTTGGGATTTTTTGGGTTTGGCCTGATGGGGTGGCGATGGCCTAATAAGAGGTTATAAGGAGGGCTTATTAGACGGCCGGTTTTGAACCTCTCAATATAGTCCCCTCATTATAGAAGCTCCCTTTTTTCTTTTTTTTCTTTTTTGGTTAATACAAAAGGAGGAGATGGGTTCTTCTCACACACACACACACACACACTGTCATGGTGTCATGGGATTCAAACACGAGGTCATTGGTTTGCAAGTCAAGACTATTTCCAGTAAGCTATACCTTGTTGTCTAGAAGCTCCCTTCTTTCTTATTTGTTGAGTACTCAAAAAGGGTCAATGATATGGAGTCAACATGAGAGTGGTCAAAAGAAAAGGCTTATTGGGAGGAGAAAAGGCTACAATTGCAAGCTCAACCCCACAAAGTGTGCAAAGCTCACACAAGAAGAGCCCCCACCGTCGTTTGGAGCATTTGACTTGTAAATTACTTCTCTTGAGTATTTTGGCGATTGCAGTCTTTGCTAACCCTGGCCTGGCATCTTGTTCTTCATTTCGGAGATGGCCATTGCTAGCTTGTTTTTTGCTTGCAGTTGAGCTTGTGATGGTTGGAGGGGGATCCAAAAACTTGTATTCATAGAAGGCTGTAGAACCATTGTTGCCCATGCATTTATAACTTAAATAATGTATTTTTCTAAGTTAGTATGTACTGTTTATTATTTGAGTAAAGACATTTTGAAATAATGTAGGTTGAAAACAGATAATGGGTTTAACAAACCACGAAACACTTGAGGCTTCAATACCATCATATTTTGTAGGCTTCCTAAACCATTTGCTACGAGTTTCAACAATTTGACAACAAAGACACAGCAAGGGCTGGTGAAATTACCAAGGTAGATTGCTCAATTAGCTTTCTCATGAAACTTTAAATAAGGGTGAAGAAAGAATAGAATATCTTGACCGCACAAACTCTCTTCTTTCACAGCTCCATACATAAAGTGTCTGCCAATAACATCTTGCAGCAGACAAAATCTTCGCGTAGATGACACACCACTCCTAATCTAACTAGGTCACACACCACTCCTAATCTAACTAGGATTTGACCGCTTGAGCTCGAGGCCTCCAGAGTCCTAGTCTATACTTGTGGGTGTATTTCAAGATCAGCTTCCTCTGCAAACCGGAAATCAGATTTCAGATTTCTAAACAATGTCTGTATGAAGTAATCAAATTATTGTCATCATGAAATGAACCACAAAGACAGAAATTTTAATGTTTAATGTCCAGCAGGCATGTGTGTGTCTGTAGAGTAAGTGATAAACTCAGAGATTGATTACGTGTTTGCAAGGGATGCCAAGTTTCTTCAGCTTGAGAGTACGAGTGACAAGCAGCTTTTGGAAATCACCAATCTCAGATTCAAGCTTGGACACATGGGATTCCACACCATTGCCAATTCCATTCAGAAACTCTGGTATTCCAACCTTCACTGCAAGAAAAACAACCACACAAACCCAATTTTTAGGTTTCCCACTGAACCTATTGTTCAGAAGTTTATCTCTTCTAAGTTTTCTAACAAAACCTCCATTTCATTTAAATAAATAAAAAGTGTTGTTACTCTGACACTTAGACTGGCCCATTTTAGCCTACTACACAAAATTAATCACTTTCAATTCCCTTCAACGTTCTCAATCTTTTTGTAACCGGATGAGAACAAAGCAAAATTTCTTGATTGCAAAGAAAAGGTACAAAACAGAACCCAAATCAGATGTTCAGTAGTCAAGAGAAAAATTACTTTCAACGTTCTCAATCTTTTAGTAACCAGATGAGAATAAAGCAAAATATCTTGATTGCAAAGAAAAGGTACAAAACAGAACCCAAATCAGATGTTTAGTAGTCGGGAGAAAAATTATTCATTTAATAGATAGTTACATCAACAAGAAACACGAACTTACAAAGCCCAAGATTTCATTTGCCATTCTTTATGTCCCCAACTTTCTCAGCAACCATACAGGCGAGGCAACATAAGCATACCAAACCACATTGGGCCATTCTTCATTATAGTTTTTGGAGAAGTGATCAATAAAGCTTCTCACTTCTATCAAAACCTAAATATAGAGCATTACAAAAACCCAAACTTTATGTTCTCATTTCTTTCCTCTTCTTCAAATTTTCAGCATACAAACAGAACCTCTAATGCCACCTAGCTACTTAGCCACATAGACACTGTATCATTTAAATTTGAAGAAATGCAAATCACTAAATTCATAAAACCCAGAAATCTTATTCTCTATCATTTGCTTGGGAACCAAAGAAATGTGGAAGGATCAACAAATACGTATCAAAACCCTAAAAGCAAAATCTTTGCTTACCTAGGTATGGGTTTGATTTGGTGGAGAATTTGGCAGACCCGGTTGTTGAATATGGTTCCAAAATAGCTCTTGTGCTGAATAATATTTGCCTCCATGCCATCTTCTGTTGAATAGAAATGTTCAAATTAACAAACACACGCACATATAGAAGAATTGAACACATACACACGCATAAACCCTGAATTCAGCTCACTGAAAATCCAAAAACCTTGCAAACAGAGCAATGGAAGAGAATGAACTGACTGTGTGTCACTCAGAGAAGGAAATCTTAGAAAATGAGATAAAGCTCAAAACTTACCGGATTACCTGAAGGAGGGCAGGACTCTCGACGTGAGACTTGGAAGAGGGCTTGGTTACAGGAGAGGAACGGGAGGTTGGGTGGGATGCGGTGATGGGCTAGTGTTTGTTCCGCTAAAGTGGGCTATGGAAAAGCACTAAAATTGGCCCATGAAAAGCCTCGTTTTCATTAGAAGCCTACTTTATTTTATTTTTTTTCCATCACAATTTGGTATGTATGATATATTATTTTTGTATATATGTTAAACTGTGATTCGAACGAAAGGGAAATGAGTCTTTACATACGCCCTAAACACCGTACTCCAAATTTCCCTAAATCTGTCCTCATACTCGATTTTTGTCCTTCATACCTAATCTATTAGGGTTGAAGTCCCAAGAACACCCTAATTGGTGGGGATGCAAAAGAAAAAATGCGTGGATAAGCACTAGGTACTTTGTAAGAAGTTACTTTCAACTATTTATTTTTTCCGGGAAACACTATAACTTATAATAAAAGCACATATGAACAAAAGTAGCTTTTTAAAGAGTGCTACTATTTCCATCCTCATGTCCTATTTCCCAACCCACCTAATCCTCAAAATTTTAAAGACAAATTTACCACTATGTAAAATGAATTATTCTATTTGTGGCCTTTCTTTTATCATTTCCTTGGACTCTTCATCTTATATTTCTGCAATATCCAAAAAAAAAGAAGAAGCCCTCTTTTGAAACTATAAAAGAAATAAAAATTGGAATATTTCAGAGTGGGGATGTTGGTGATCATTATCCATATGTCGGCTTCTTTTGAAATTTATGTAAATTAAAAGGGAATTAATTTGGGCATATAATGTTAAAGCAAAATTTGATTAGGTGAAAACAAAGTGATGGGTTTTACGGATGGCTTGGAGGGATGGTGGTGATGAGAGAGGAGAGGAAGAGGTTGGGGGCGACTTGGAGAAGAGAGTTGGATTAACTTTTTTTTCATTTAATTTGTGAAGGGTATTTTAGGAATAATGGTGGGTGGAAATATAGGATTTTGTTTTTTCAAATTTACATTGTAAATGGGAAGATAAGGTGGGTGAAGAAATACAATAGGAGATGGAAATAGAAGCACCCCTTTTAAATTAAATGGTCCTCAATATCTTATCTTTTGTCTTGGGCTTCTACAAAGAGACAAGGGATACGAAGGGGACATGGAAAATGATAGATAGCAAGATCACCGCTTTCAAGTCCACATTTGAACCCCTTTCACTTGTTACTCTTTCCGTTACAAGACCTTTCACTTCTTACTTGATCGGTGGTGACTGTTGTAACTTGTAAGTACATTTTTTAGTCCAGTAAAATCAAAGTTTTCGTTAAACTAAACTCTTCGTTTTTTTTAAGAGGCTTGTAACTGAAGTAGTTAATCGAGTCTTCAATTCCTCCTCCCTAATATTGTTTATTTTTCCCTAAATTGTTACTTTAATTAAGTTGACTAAAACTTTGGCTATGTTTTTCCAGAACCCCCAAGTGAAGAGACTCAACTCAAGTTACTTCTAAATCAAATACATGGTTTGACAATTTAGAGCTTTTGCTTACACAACTACAAAATGCCTTCTTGGTTGGGCTCATTTGCAGCGCTAACTGAGTATCTTCTTTCTCCATTCTGCGTATGTACAGAGCCACGTTATTGTAAATAATAGAAAACAGTATGCAATTTCTTCTCAAATGTATTGAGACATCATATCCTTTTTGGGGGTGGTAGGGTTACTTAACTTTTGCTTTGATGAAGTAGACATGAAGTATCTAATGGTTGAAGTAGTTTTGATTTTCTGCCAAAGATTTAGTGCTCTCTCTGTCTCTTGTCTCTTGTGTGTTTCTTTTTCTAATACTTAACGCGGTTTGTGATTAATATGCTTTAATTGGGGCCCCAAGTGTTTGTCATTCTCTAGAAGCCCCATTTCCATCAGCTTCATTTTCCTCCCATTTGCTGCAAATTATTTTTCCATCACTGAAATTGCAGTGAACATGGAAGGGATGACAATGTGGCACACGTAACCAATTACATCATAATATCATATCCAAACCAACAACTACCATTGAACTTATGGCTTCTTTTTGGAAAATACTTTCTTCCTTGCCCTCGAAGTAGGAACTGTTACTTTCTTTCCTACCAATACAGTTTGATTTGTGTACAGAAATTTTTCGTTCTGTACTTTTGATGAATTGTTTTCTATATATATGTATCAAGCTGTGATTTGCAGAAAAAATGAATGCCTCCGTCCTTCTAAGGAAGGAGGGGCAAGCAGTGACCCTTCTTTTTTGGGTTTTTTTTTCTTGTCTTATGCCGATTTTAAAGTTTTGCAAATATTGTTTATGTCGACTCTTGTCAACATGAATTTTCTTTGAAGATGCTGAGAACTTTATTTATGAACACAATCCTTTGAGATACATTTAAAAAGTCAAGCCATCTAACCACGTGCACCCCCTCTCACGCTTAAGCATTTACTTGTTTGTCAACGTCTATCAATTTCTCTGCCTTTCCCACTTGTAGCAAAATTTCAGGGTGCCTTCCAATTCTTTCCTATATATAGTTGTTTGGAAATTAGTTGTGTACTCATCTTCCTCTTTACTTAAAAACAAAAAAAGAAAGGAAACCTTTTGAACGTTTACAATGGATACAAGGCTTGTAGAGGCAATGAAGAGAAATGATATACCCACATTTATTAGCTTGGTGGAAAAGTATGAAGGAATTCTTGAGCAAAGAGAAGCTGATACTTGCAACACACCATTACACCTTGTGTCAAAATTTGGACACCATTCCATGGTGTCTGCAATTGTCAAGTCACGGCCTGATATGGTTGCTGCTGAGAATAAGGACCTGGAAACTCCAGTCCACGAAACTTGTCGAATGGGGAATGCAGAGGTCTTAAAGCTGTTACTTGAGGCCAATGCTGGGGCAGCTACTAAGCTTAACAGTGAAAAGAAGAGTGCACTTTTCTTGGCTTGCAGCTATGGCCATGTTGATGTGGTGAATCTCCTACTGAATGAGCCCGGGATGCTAGGTTTGGCGGAAGACGGGCTTGAAACTTGTATCTGTGTGGCTATGTCTGGTGGACACATAGGTAAGTAGTAAAATTCTCTCATTCAAATTGACATGTAAATTTGCGTTTTAGTTAACTTTTCAGTCAATCCACGTACTTTGTACATGTTAATGAAATCAGTATTGCTGGTGCAGATGTTGTTGGAGAGTTGCTAAGAGTGTGTCCTGACCTTGCTTCTGCAATTGATGAGAATGGTAATTCACCATTGCACTATGCATCTAGCAAAGGGCATAGGGAGATGACCTGGATGCTCCTAAGGCTTGATCCAAAACTTGCTCAGCAATACAATAACAATGGTCACACACCATTGCACTTGGCAGCAATAAACTACAGAGCTTCAGTCATTGAAGGATTTGTCTTGATGGCTCCAGCATCTTTTCAATTAGTCACAAAAGATGGAGAGACAGTATTTCACTTGGCTGTGAAATATGGTCAATATGCTGCTTTAGTTTTCCTTATCCTTGTCTGCAATGGGATGAATCTCTTTAATTGTCGAGATCGTTTTGGTAATACCATCTTACATCTTGCAGTTTCTGGAGCACAGAATCAGGTGAGATATGAATTTGCATTAAACAATGGTGATTGGTTTCTGACCAGGAATATAGAACATGAACTGCTGGAACTAATTTAAATTTTGTGCCATTGAGAGTCCATGATTCAGGAACCTCTCTTAGTCTTACTTGCATCTTGTAGTCTCTTCATGGACTTTTGTGTTTCTGCGGTCTTGTCCCTTCTTCGTTATATGTTTAGATTTGTTTAAAATTATCACAAAAACAAAGATCGAAATATCATTCACAGCCTATGTTCTACAAGTATAGACAAAATCGTTTATCATATTTTTCATGGATGTTCAAGGATGGATTTTAACTATATATTCACGTTTGTTCCAGATAGCAGAGTACATAATCAACAAAACAAGAGTGGAGATTAATTCTCGAAACTGTGAAGGACTCACAGCACTTGACATTCTCGTCCAGGCCAAGGACAGTGTAGAAAATCGGCGTCTTGAAGCCTTGCTCGTGAAAGCAGGAGGTAAAAGGAGCATTGAGTTGTTATCACTTTCAGCAAAAGTAGATAGAGTCAGTGCTCAATCAGTGTCAATCCCTGAGAAAGTGCCAAAAAGAGCAAAATTTGTTAAAGAGCATGAATTGCAGGTTTCCGTTATAAATGAAATAGTTCATCCTGCATCCAAGACCCCATCTAGTTTATCATCACCCCTATCTAGAAAGTCATCTAGTTTGCCATCACCCCAATCTAGCAAATCTTCACCTATGCTTCCATCACCACAATCTAGGAACTCATCGCCTTGGCATGACATACGGGAGGGACTTCACTATCAACCACAAACGCCAGAGTCCCTATTGCCAACTGAGAGACAACACAAGAACCCTAGTGAGATTTTCTATGACCATAAAAGGAAGCAGCATAAGACATATAGAGAGGCACTACAAAATGCCAGGAACACTATAACACTTGTTGCAAGTTTGATTGCAACAGTTACTTTTGCTGCTGGTATCAGCCCCCCTGGTGGTGTCTATCAGGATGGGAAGTCAGTGGCAGGAAGAACAACAGCTTTCAAGGTCTTTGCAATAAGCAATTATGTTGCTCTGTTCACGTCGCTCTCGATAGTTGTTGTTCTTGTCAGTATCATCCCATATCGAAGAAAGCCATTGATAAGACTATTGGTGGTTGCTCACAAGTTCATGTGGGTAGCTGTGGCATTCATGGCAACAAGTTATGTTGCAGCAACATGGGTGATCATGCCACATAGTTTAGAAAAAGAATGGGTGCTTGTAGCTTTACTGGCTGTAAGCATTGGCACTCTGGGAACAGTTTTTATTGGTCTAGGTCTAATGCTGGTTGATCATTGGCTGCGGAAGCGAAAGTGGAGAAAAGGAAGAAGAGAAATAGGGGGGGCTAATGAAGACGCTGAAATGGGAAGCCAAAACTCAGACGTGGAGAGCTCCTACACTCTGGGATACCACTCATACTGATTGTTTCCTCCTCCGGAAGGATTGCTATGAACATCGGGTTCTCTAGTAAGATATACTTGATTATAGTAACATGAACAGATGTGAATCATGTGACATATTTAATTTCCGTATTTTGTATTTGAACTGTTGGTTGTAACGTGTAGTGAGGCCAAGGTCTACTGTGTGAATAACTGATAGTCATAGAATAAAATGTTGGCATCAGTTGGATTGTTTTTGTACAGTGTTCTTTCTTCCTATGTTAAGCTTATCTTTAGCTGTTCTTTCTTTTCTTTAGTTGAAAATGAAAATAAGATTAATTCTCAGTTAGAGTTTGAGTTGACCTAGGATGTTGCTGGGAAAAGAATTCATACAATGTGATCTTAAGCCCCCCTCAAGGTCCTCCTTTATATATACAATTGTTGTGCTAGATGATTTCATGCTTCTGTTGACAACAATATACAAAGCTTTAAGACCAGCAGAGTTCGAATGGCAGGACAAGGCAGGAAAATAAAAATTAAATTCAGGATGAGTGCACAAATGGTAGATACTTATGTTACTGAATTAGAGAATCATGATTATGAACACAAGAGATGGAAGAAGTCATTTATAGATCACTCTAGAACATATTCTTATACACCTTTTCATCCATGTAATTTAATGCAATTTAATATCAATTAGTGTTTAAGTTTCCCAACAGAACAAGAACTGTTTTGCAATGAGACAGCAAACCCATAAAATGACCGTTGCTAAGATTAAGATGTTAAAGTTGGTGAATGGAAATAGAAAAATATGGATGACATCTACCCCACATTCACAGTAAGAACCTGATTCTCACATTGCTTTCCCCTGAATAAACAAAAATAAATAAAATAAAATAAATAAAGGTAAAAGAATTCATCAATATCAAGCTTGTCCTGAGTCTTGTTGCTCATGATCACTATTGACAAGCCTAAACAAGTCAAGTTGGGAATTGCTCAAGCCTGGCTCACCTGCGTTTATATATTGTTCATTGAACATTAATTCAAGGTTTACGAAGTTGCACCATTAATTAAGAACTGAAATGAGACTCAAATGAAGTTTCCCAGCTGCATTCGGTCCCAAATGTGGTTTTCTAGAAACCCCCACTTTCAGTTGCTTTTCATTTTTAGTTTTTTTTTTCCTTCTTTCTTTACTCCATTTTCTGTCAAAGACTCATTTTGTTTTGTTTTTTCTTGTAAAGATTTTCTCGCTAAAACGAATTTTCTCTTAAGATTCTGGGACACTTTATGGACGCAACACTATTATCCTAGGTTTCTTGTCAACGTTTACCAACTTCTGTGTCCTGCTCTGTACTTGTAGCAAACATTCAAAGCAGCTTCCTTTTTCCTATATCTAGGTGTTTGGAAGTTCCACTTGCACTGAGTTGCTTTTAATGGATTTGTCCAAAAACAAGGAGGCAACAATAGATTTTAGGCTTTTAGAGGCAATTGAGAGAAATGACATACCAACATTTATTAGCTTAGTTGAAGAAAATGAAGGAATTTTTGAGTAAAGAGAAGCTGATACTTGGAACACACCATTACACCTTGTGACAAAGCTTCAACACCTTCACACGGTGTCTGAAATTGTTGAGTTGCACGCTGATATGTGATATGGTTGTTGCTGAGACTTCAGTACATGAAGCTTGTCGAACAGGGAATGCCAAGATTGTAAAGCTATTACTGGATGCCAATCCTGGGGTAGCTAGTTAGCTTAACAGGAAAGAGCAGAGTGCACTTTCCTTGGCTTGCAGATATGGACACCTTGAAGTGGTAAAGCTCCAATTGAATGAGCCCGGGAAGCTAGGTTTAGCGAAAGATGGGTTTGATCAAACATGTATCCTTGTGGCTGTGTCCAGCGGACACATAGGTAAGTAGAAGAGTTCACTCATTGAAATTTTGGACCCTGATGAACCCTAATGAATGACATGAAAGCTTGCACTTCAATTAAATGTTAGGTCCACTTGCTTAGATGGGCTTAGCTTAATTTGTTTGCATGTATTATTGATGAAATGAGTATTTCTGGTGCAGACATTGTTAGTGATCTGCTAAGTGTCTGTACCGACCTTGCGCTTATAGTTGACAAAAATGGAAATTCGCCCTTGCACCATGCATCTAGCAAAGGGCAAAGGGAGATAACCAGGGCAGTTCTCTGGACCCTTCTAAAGCTTAATCCAAGACCTGCTCAGAAAGCTCAGCAATATAATCACAATGGTCACACACCATTGCACTTGGCAGCAATAAACTACAGAGTTCCAGTGCTTGAAGTGTTTCTATTGCTTGCTGAACCATCTTTTCAAGTTGTCACAAAATCTGGAGAGACGGTATTCCACTTGGCTGTGAGATATGGCAGATACAATGCTTTAGTATACTTGACGACTCATGTCAGCAATGATATTGATTTCTTTGACTGTAGAGATCTTTATGGTAACACCATCTTACATCTTGCAATTTCTGAAACACAACATAAGGTGAGATATGAAAGAGTATTGGCAATGTCCATAGGTTCAATTGAGAGTATGTACTAGGATAAATATGAGTTGCAACCACATAAACCTTATAAGCATAGACACAATTATTTATCATAATTGCTTATGCATGTTTAAACATGGCTTTTTAATTAATCAATATTTCTCGTTTGTCCCAGATAGCAGAGTACCTAATCAAGAAAAGAAGAGTGGAAATTAATTCTCGAAACAATGAAGGACTCCCCTTGAGACCATATATGCCAGAGACAACCCAATTTGTTAAAGAGCATGACCTGCATTTGTCCAATATAAATAAAATAGGTTCTTCTGCATCCAAAACCCCATCAAGTTCAAGTGTATCACCATATATGTCTAGAAAGTCTTCTAATCTGTCATCACCACAATGTAGCAGGTCATCCCACAAGCCAACAACTGTACACGAATCCAAGTAAAAGGCACCTGCAAGAACTGAGTGAGACTCTTTATCACAAACAAAGGAAGCATCATAAGGTATATAGTACAGAGGCGGTACAAAATGCCAGGAACACTATAACACTAGCTGCCATTTTGATCGCAACGGTTACTTTTACTGCTGGTATCAGCTCCCCTGGTGGTGTCTATCAAGAAGGATCAATGAAGGGGAAGGCAATTGCAGGTAGGACAACAGCTTTCAAGGTCTTTGAATAAGCAATTACATTGCGTTGTTCACATCACTCTCGATAATTGTTGTTCTTGTCAGCATCATCCCCTACAGGAGAAAACCATTGATAAGACCATTGGCAGTTGCTCACAAGGTCATGTGGGTAGCTGTGGCATTCATGGCAACAGCTTATGTTGCAGCAACATGGGTGATCATGCCACATAGTTTGAAAAAAGAAGTGGTGCTTGTAGCTTCCCTGGCTGTAAGCATTGGCACTCTGGAACTGTTTTTATTGGTCTAGGTCTAATGTTGGTTCATCACATGCTGCGGAAGTCAAAGTGGAGAAAAGGAAGAAGAGAAATGGGGGGAATCGAACTTAGACCTTGAAACAGGAAGCCGAAACTCAGATGTTGAGAGATCCCAAGATCAGGGATACCACTCATACTGAATGTTTTCACCTCCCAAAAGATTGAGAAAAAGATAGTGAGGTTTAGGCCTATTGTGTTGATAACAAATAGTCCTAGTGCAAAACTTTCAAACCTGTTAACTTGATTTTGTTTAGCAAATGTCCTAGCTATTGTTTCATTGAATGAAAATAAGATTACTTTAGAGAATATCAGCTCTTCAAGCCTCAGCCGAATATCAGCTCTTCAAGCCTCAGCCGAATATCAGCATATATCCTGCAAATGCTTTATAGGGTTTTCAAGAAAAATATAGTTTTCATATGTATAGGTCGAAAGTTGAACTAAAAGGTTGTGAATCCATGAAGCGTGAAATCAGCATAAATTGAGTGCCAGAAACTTGAACATAGATGAAAACGGAAATTCAAGGGTGGTTTTTTCGTTTTTTGTCGGATGGGGTGAAATTTGCATAGACTTGCCGTTTCCAACCATGTAAATATGTGGCCACATGATTGTTCACCTAGCCACACAGTTGGCTAGGTGGACAGCAATTGCTAAGAGTCAACCAGTGTCCTGCATAGTGAAAATGGATCTATCTCTAGGAAGGAAGCCTTTCTTTTATTTTTTTTTTTTTCTTTTTTTTTTTTTTTTTTTTTTTTCTTTTTCGGTTGAGTTATTATTTACACTTTATGAGGTTTTCGGTGTTTGCTCAAGACCCCTGAAGTTTCAAAAATTATACGAACACCAACAGAGATTTCAAATTGTTTTCACAAAACCCATTTTCATGATTGTTTCGTACAAAAATTGATGATTATATAAAAAATTTCTCCAAATGACAAAGGTAACCTTTGAGATTAGATTGCACATACATTCATTGAGGTTAATTTTGTCATTTGCATAAGTTTTTTATATATATATGACATCAATTTTTGGAAAAACAATCAACAGAAAGGGGTTTTGTGAAAACAATTTTTGAAACTTCAAGGGGTGTTCATGTAATTTTTGAAACCTCAAGGGGGTATTAATGTAAATAACTCTTGTTTGTTATTCATTTGATGTAATCTAATCTTAATAAGGGTTAAATAACTTAAATTTTCCAAGCGGCCAAAATGTTGGGCAATAAGGCAGCAAGCTGGATGAGGGTTTAAGAAAAAGATAGATAAAGTTTATGTGCAAAGATAAACAAGTCAAAGCTTTTGGCTCTTACTTTCCATCAATTATCACAATAATATTTTCTTCAGACTTTACGCGGACTAACGAAGTTTCCAAATTGGCTACAGCATGCATTGTGGGGTCCCAAAATGTCGTTCTCTATAAACCCCATTTCCCGTCTGATTTTTTTGTTTTTGTTTTTTTTAAATGGTTGTAAATATTTAAAGAACATTTTTCCAACAAGAATTTTCTCAGAAGATGCAGGGACGACTTAAACGACACCATTTACATCCTTTTATTGGATTGTCAACGTTGACCGACTTCTGTGTCCTGCCCAGTACATGTAGCAAACTTTCAAAGAATCTTCCTTCTGTTTTTGCCCCCCTGTGTACTCCTTTAAAAGTACCTCCAGTGGTTAGAGTTCTCAAACAAAGAAAAAAAAACTAGGAGGTTTTGAAGCTTGCAATGAATTTGTCCCAAAACAAAGAGGCAATTGAGAAAAAGGAAGGAAATCTTGAGCAAGGAGAAGATGAGAACAAGGACCTGGAGACTCAAGTGCATGAAGCTTGTCGAACGGGGAATGCCGAGGACTTAAAGCTGTTACTGGATGCCGATCCTGAGGTAGCTAGCAAGCTTAACACTAAAGACAAGAGTGCACTTTCCTTGGCTTGCAGCCATGGCCACCTTGATATGGTGAAGCTCTTGCTCAATGAGCCTGGGATGCTTGGTTCAGGCAAAGATGGATTTGATCAAACATGTATCCATGTGGCTGTTTCTGGTGGGCAAATAGGTAAGTAGCAAAGTTCTCTCTTACAAACTTAATTGTAATTTTTTTTTTAAAACCCAATTTCTTAATTTGCTTTAGCTTAATTTTGGTTTCTATGTGTAATGAAATAAGTGTTTCTGGTGCAGATGTTGTTAAAGAGTTGCTCGGAGTGCGTCCTGACCTTGCTCATATGGTTGACGAGAATGGAAATTCGCCGTTGCACTACGCAGCCAGCAAAGGACAGAGAGAGATAACCTGGATGCTCCTGAGGCTTGATCCAAAACTTGCTGAGCAACACAATAACAATGGTCACACACCACTGCACTTGGCAGCAATAAATTACAAAGTTTCAGTCCTTCAATTGTTTGTGTCCATGGCTAAACCATCTTTCCAAATTGTCACAAAAGCCGGAGAGATGGTATTTCACTTGGCTGTGAGATATGGCCGATATGATGCCTTGGTGTACTTGACCCATGTCTGCAACGATATCGAGTTCTTTGATTGTCGAGATATTTATGGCAACACCATCTTACATCTTGCAGTTTCTGAAGCACAACATAAGGTCAGATATGCATCCAAATCCTTATAGACTTTCTTGCATCGCAAGCTATTACATATACAAGTTACAACCACATAACCTTACTAGTCATATACAAATGAATAAAGACTTCAACAGAAGAACTTGTAGTTTATGAAAAGTGCTCTCTGCCATGCCAGTCTTTTGATTTTAATGTTTGTGTGGTCTTTTCCCTTGGTAATATTTTGGAAATGATTTATGGTTCCATCCAATACTAAGTTTTGAATTTGTTGGAGAAACAAAGATCTAAGTGGCGTGTGCCTCCTGTTCTTTACAAGTATAGGCAGCAAAATTCTTGCATCAGATTTTTTATGCCTGTCCAAACATGGCTTTTAACTAGATATTTTCTCTTGGCCCAGATAGCAGAGTACCTAATCAGCAAAAAAAAAGTGGCACTTAATTCTCGGAACAATAAAGGAATCACAGCACTTGACATCCTCAATGAGGCCAAGGACAGTGTAGAAAATCGGCGTCTTGGAGCTATGCTTGTAAAGTCAGGAGGTGAAACGAGGATTGAGCTGTTATCTCATTCACCAAAAGTAGAAACAGCCAGTGCTCAGTCAGTAGTACTTGAAAACATGCAGAAAAGAGCTCAATTTGTTAAAGAGCATGAATTGCAGTTAGCCATTATAAATGAAGTAGCTTCTCCTGCATCCAAGACCCCATCTAGTTTATCACCACCCAAGTCTAGAAAGCCATCTAATTTGCCATCACCTCAATCTAGCAAGTCATCACCTAAGCTGCCATCCCCGCAATCTAGCAAGTCATCACCTAAGATGCCTTCTCCACAATCTAGCAAGTCATCACCTCAACATCAAGTTGGGGAGGGATTTGATTTTGAAACACAAAATGCAGAGCCCTTGTTGCCAACCATTGTGAGGCAACACAAGCATCCTAGTAAGAGGCACCAGACCGAACTGAGTCAGATTTTCTATAACCCGCGAAGGAAACATCATAAGGTATATACAGAGGCACTACAAAATGCCAGGAACACTATAACACTAGTTGCCATTTTGATTGCAACGGTTACTTTTGCTGCTGGTATCAGCCCCCCTGGTGGTGTCTATCAGGACGGACCAATGAAAGGGAAGTCAATTGCAGGTAGAACAACTGCTTATAAGGTCTTTGCAATAAGCAATTATGTTGCATTGTTCACATCGCTGGCAATAGTCGTTGTTTTAGTAAGTATCATCCCGTATCGGAGAAAGCCATTGATAAGACTAATGGCATATGCTCACAAGGTCATGTGGGTAGCTGTGGCATTCATGGCGACAGCTTATGTTGCAGCAACATGGGTGATCATGCCGCATAGTCAGAAGAAAGAAGTGGTGCTTGTAGCTTTATTGGCTGTGAGCATTGGCACTCTCGGAACAGTTTTTATTGGTCTAGGTGTAATGCTAGTTGATCATTGGTTGCAGAAGTCGAAGTGGAGAAAAGGAAGAAGAGAAAGAGGGGTGGCTATTGAGGATCCTGAAATGGGAAGCCCAAACTCAGATGTTGAGAGCTCCTACAATCAGGGATACCACTCATACTGAAGCTTTTGTTTTCCTCTTATGCTTTGCAATCACCTGAAATCTCTTTGTGAGCATGTTGATGTACTTGCTATAAGCTTTGGTTAGAAAAGGTTAATTCTCTAATTAGATTGTGAGTTTATCTAACCTATATAGATTGCCATCGAGTTGAGGTATGGTGACTCTTAAGTCCCCTCAAGGTGCTTTGTAAAATACAATTGTGTTGCTGCATGTTTCCTGCTTCTGTTGAATGCAATATTTACACACCAGTAGCTAGATTTTATGCAAAATTCCATATACAAAGCCTTGAGTATGCCGGAAATATTTTGTCCCAGCTTTCGTGGCACAGCCGACAATAAAAAAGCTCCTTCCCTATCAAACAAGGAAAGGTCTGTATCCCTCCATGTGTGCTTGATCAATATATATTTCCTTGGTTCGAGCACTGGAGACTTCTGAAAGGGGTGCTCCAAAGCCACTTGTTTTTAATAGTTTTCTAAAACTAACAAAGTAAAAAGAGTTGCAGTTAACAAGAGGCCCAAATGAGATTGAATGGGACAAGGCAGGAAAAACAAAAACTGACATCAAGACAAGTTTGAAAGAGGATAGGAAGAAGTGATTTGTACATCAAATTGTGAATTTATGTATCTGGTTTTTCATTGACTCGCTGAAATTCAAGGAACCACTACTCATTCGAACCTGGATGATTTAAAATCTGATAAAAGAAATTGAAAAGAAATAGCAATTACAAGAAAAAGATAAACCATCCATTCCTTTGCACCCAAGTTCAATCCCCAGTAAATTATACTAGTAGCCTCATCCAAAAAACAAGACTATAATATTTGTTCCGCTGTTGTACGGTTTGGCAAACCCATTCAATTTTCACATATACAACAAATAGATTAAAAATCCAATGAAACCAAAATAGTATGTATTCTACTCTTGGTTTACCTACCATATCTTCAGCGATGAGCTGCTGCTGCAGATGAATCAACTTGAGGCAGAGGACTAGTAGGCTTGCTTTGTGCACCTTCTTTTCCTCTCCTTCATTTACATCACACCAATAATTTTCAGCATGTATGTCGCAAAAGAAAAACTATAAATATCGCATGCAAGCCATTAATCAACATCAAAAGGTACCTGGTCTTCAATTTGATCAGTGCTGCTACTGCTTCCCCTCACTGTCCCACGCTCCCTTTTTAGAAAAGAAACAACATCAATTAATAAATCATCAGCCTTATTACTCGTTGCAAACACAGAATACAAACCTATCAAGCTCAAGATCACCAGAAGTTTTGCATCAAGTAAAATTAACCAAGATAGAGCAAATATAATTACAAATCAAAACTAGGCTTGTTTGCTTTAATAAAACTTCTATGTAGCTGCTTCTTCACATGCTCTTAGGCTCAATTGATAAGAATGCTACTAAGGCCGATAAAAAACCAAATCTAAACTATTCAGATTTCATACACAGAGTACGAACCTATCAAACTCAGGAAGATTTTCCTTCTTGCAACTTACATCAGCCTTATTGTCATGCTTGTCTGCACGACCAAGCCTGTACAACAACAAGAACACCAGAAGTTTTGCATTAAGTAAAATTACAACAAGATAGATGTAATATAATTACCTATCTGTTGATGCTCTTTTTGGGAGGGTTAACTTAGAGAGAAGTGGAGTGTCTTCAGCAAGGGAGAAGGTGAGGACATTCGAAATGGGATGAAGAAGCAATTGTCAAGCTTCGAACATCGGTGTGGTGCATGCCGAAGGCTCTCCAATGCTTAAGTCAGCTATAAGTGGTAATTTTGGCAGAGTAACAATAAAGGTGAGAAAATAGTTACCCTTTTTACTTGGGTACTGTTCCCTATTTATAGGGAAGTGAAAATGGGAGTTTTGCACAAAGTTTCGATGTGGGACTTTGTGCAAGTTGCTGTGGAGATGACACATGTCCTTGGAGATTTAGGTTCGGCAGTCAGAAGCTTCGGCAGGTGTCTGGCACCTCGGAAGATTGTCTTCCTTTGGCAGGGAAAAATGCGTGTCTACCTTGGTGCTAGTCATTTTGATGCTAGATATGCTCGGTTGATTATGGTGTAAACACTATCAAAACTAAGTTTGCTTGCTTTATTAAAACTTGTATGTAGTTGCTTCACATGTTTTTAGTGTCAATTGTTAAGAGTGCTACTAAGGCTGATAAAAAACCAAATCCAAACTACTCAGGTTTTCACCATGTTAACCTTAATAAAGAGGCAAAGATACTGGGAACAAGAAGGGCATACAACGTAGTACGTATTAATAAAGCAATAATAATCTACTCACTCACTTTGATTTGAACATTTAAAGAATAAGATAGGATTCCATTCCTTTCAGCTACCCTTAATTTTGACATGCCTTCAAAGTTCACAAAACACTCTCTCACACCTGGGATAAACTTACCACTTCGTGGAAAGAGGCTCGCTAGTAACATGCTTCTAAATGCGTAGTAGTCAATAGTTGAAGTTGTTTTGAGAAAGGATAGCCCCTCGTAAGGGACAACTTAACGAAAGAGAATAACAACTAAGAACCAATGGAGCTACAAAGATCTCAAATTGCACTAACAAATGCAATTTGGCATGCACAAACACAAAATACTGAACAGAATATTGCCAAGTCACACAGCCGTATTAACATTTTTGAGTTACATGCCATCCAACAGAATATACATTCATCACAATGGAGATACATACAAACACTGAAAATACAAGTTCAACATAAGAAAATAAAAAACTACACCGAAAGCAAATATTTGTTTGAGGGACTTATAATAATTTCTTACCTAAGAGCAACTGGGAGGAGACAGGATCGCCAAGCTCTTTGAAATAATAACTTTCAAAGGCCTTGATATGTGCATTGACAAGGAATTGATCACCACCAGCAAGGCTTGTAACAAGCAATTGGAACACCACTACGCATACACAATACTAATCCCACGAATCCCAGCCACCACTCATTGTGCGAATGACGCCATCATCACCACTCATATGGGAGATGAAGTTTGAGGAGCACGCTAGAAAAGGACACAAAACCTTCTGAAGCTCAAATAGCTGCCCAACCATCTTAGGGATGCCCTTTAGATCCAAATGAAAAGCAACAACATCTGTCCCCCCCAGCAGGGTTGCCAACTACAAAGTCGTTGAATTCTACAAAACCAGTGACAAGTCCAAGTCCCTCCTCCACCTCCATGATACCAGATACATCCTCCTTTATTTTAAAGGGTGTCAAACATGTAAAACTTTTCTCTCAACCAGTAACAACGAGCTTGTCGCCCCATGAACAGTCAAAAAGGAGAACCCTACTAGTCATACAAGTACCAACGAGGAAAGTTGGATTTGGGAGGACTGTCCACAATCCGGTAATAGGATCTAACACCTCAGAGAGGGTAGGCGATTATTCTTCGACGCACCCTTGATGCTCTGTGGACAAGACATAGGCCCCATTTGGTTCACATAACTGATTTGAGAGAAAATCACTTCCCATGTCATTTCCCAAGATAGAGATGTCAAGACTTCAAAAGATAGAGATGGCAATGAAAGAATATTCTAGAACAAGCTAAATGTTCAAGGCAGTGGAACAAAAGCAATTGAAGTTTGAAGAACATTCTAGTACAAGACACATGTATGGCTAAGAAATGAAGAAGCCCAAGTTGGTGGCTGTGTATGTCGGCAATCAAAGCCTATAAATAGGCATGCTTGTACTCATACAAGGGGGAGCACAAAAGCTACCCAACCCAAGTGATACGGGGAGTCTAACAAAAAGAACTCCCAAACCATTAGGGAGCCAAGAGCTACCCAAAGCTAGCTATGTTTGGGAGCCAATAAGCTCACCAATCTAAGTGTAGGGCCAAATTGCCCAAACTATTCTAAATCAAGTGTGGTGGCCAATAAGCCAATATGCTAAGGAGGCCAATTAGCCTACACCATGCAATGTACTATTCTCCTCCAACATAATAAAATCACTTTGTTTCCCCTATAAATCTAACACCCATGTTTGGTAATACAGGTAATGAAGATTCATTAACTGAACAAGGATAGAGTTTATCCTTAAGGGTGACCACCAGAGGATTTACCTTAGGAGCAGAAGCCATGGGAAATGTCCTCTTGCTGTTGCAGAGTCTCCATCTGGAACATTACACTCAATGAGTTCAAGGTTGGGTTCAAATTGTGGTTTCATAGGAGGATTGGACCGGTACATACCCCCCATAATATAGTTTGGAATCCACAATTATATATGCCATTCCTCGTGGCAAATTCCTTCGTTCTAAATGAGAAGAACCATGTACACGTTTAAACTCAGGCCTTGGAGACTTGGAAGAGCTACTGCTTGCTAACAATTTGCTAATGTCGAGAACCAACAAGTCACCGAACCCCTTAACATAGAACCAATCCTTGTCCGCCACCATCATCTTCTTCAACAAGTAAACAAGCAACAGGCGAACGCAATCTAAACCCTAATGGTGGTTGTTTTATAAGAAAGGAGAGATTTGCTAAAATATTATACAACAAAATAGAAGAGATGAGATGAGAGACTGAATTGATGGGAAAAGAGGGATGAATTTGATAAATTATACAAGCTTCTCGACTAAAAACCTAGAGAGATATATTAGGAGAACGAGAGGAAGAAGGGAATTTAGGATTATGGAGGTTGTAGTATACAATATCAAAAAGAACAAACATATGTTTTCTATTACCTACGTACATGTCTTGTGCGTTAAGTTAGAACATGACATTTAGAAACGATTCACATAGTTATAGGGCATGATCGCACCTTTACAGTTGTGATGATGGTGTGATAACATAATAAATAGTTCCTTGAATGTTATGTTAATACAACTGCATCTTGGCAAATTTATTTAATACTTGTGTTGCCTTCATGTGTCATGCGACATTCCTTCCTTGTGTATCAATACGAGTTGTGATGATGTCGAAAGTAGATTGGGTAATGGGGAGGGAAGGAAGGATAAGCAAAATAAGCACCATTGGAATTTTGTGTTTTTCAAGTATTAAAAATTGAAGTGTTTCCTGAAAGAGCACTTCACTAGGAAGACTCATGCCGGCCTTCCCTGTCTTTTTCCAGGATTGGCTTCATTTTCTCAAACTTTACCCAGTTTTACAATTGGTAACCAAGATGAGGAGGCTAAACCAAAGCTTCCCTCTAGACTCAACTATGAATGTCGTGTAAGATTTTTATGTCTTAAATCTCACTCAAGTGGTCTGCTAATCAACATAGAGTTCCAAACCAATGTGGAGACTAGGAATTTGATTATAACTGGACTTGTAAGTCTTGGAGAGAAGTGTTTCAGTTTAAGTTCAAGACTGCTAAGGTTCCTAATTCATAGTGGATTAGAACTCCTAATTCTAATGCAATAAGGAGAGGTTGAGGACTCCTTGTTGGGCAAGGAGTTCCGACTGATGCATATAAATACATAAGTCCCTACTCATATCGAATTACCCCACTCTAGAGAGCTCATACTCAATATCTGTGAGAGAGTATACAGAAATCGATATTGAGGAGAAGTGTTGTGTGTGTCAAGTTGCTCTTTCGATCATTCCAATGGCTACAAAACAAGGTATAGTGTTCTCTTATATGCAATCTATTTAGTTAACATGTGGTATCAGAGCCTAGCCTGCATATTTTAGAATCGATAGAAATCACCCACCTTTTCTACTACTCTGCAATATGACGGCACTTTGTAATTAATAAGGCGACAATTCTTCCTCTTTTGCTACCTCTTGACAGATCCTCTATTCTGATTTTGGGGTATGGCTGTTTTATTGAATCTAACTTGATTGCGCTGCTTTTGAATTGGCTTCAACAGACTTGTGTTGTCCATTGTTTTATGCATCACTAAAGTAAACATAAAGTTTGTGTTTTTATTTTATTTGTATCCTTAGTTAACATGCAGACTGATGTTGGCTTGTTTTCGTTTGACATACCTTCTGGCATCAACATCTATGTGGCATATCCTTTTCCATTAATAATGTATAATAATAAAGTAAACTAAGGAAAGTTTTGAGGTCTGATGGAAATTGACTTAAGCATGTATATGATTTCTAGTTTCAATCTCAGATTTTGTGGCATTATAAATATGGCTTCAGTTTTGATATCTCCTCAAGCATGCTTAATTTTCATAAGTTGGATAAGTACTTTCATTGCGGCAAAAGAATACATGCACCAGTACATATATTTAAGATAAAATTGGGGTTTTTAGTTTCAGCTTCAATCATTGATGTTAAATTGACCCAAGCATGTTTTGTGTTGATTAAATAATTGCATCTGTCATGAACTGTTTTGCCGTGACTTGTTTGGAGAAGTATTTTTAGCGATTCTTCGATCAATTATTTAATGCCATGATTAATTAAGCTGAGTTTTAGGTTTTTATACATAAGCATAACAAGTGTACATATATGAAAAGGTTATAAAGTATACCAAACCAGGAAGCTAAAACCTAAAACTGAAAGCTACATAAGCATGTATTGTTTTCTAATCTTTTGTTTCACTAACGCATTCTGTTAAGCATGTTTTCGATATAAAGTCTTTATCATTCATACTTGAAAGGTAATTGATCAAAGACTAGAGATCTCAAATATTGCATTAATTAAGCGAGCCACAGCAGCTTAACTATTGCAGATGCAATTTCCAATCTAAAGATTGATCAATAATTGCATCTATATTAGTAGCCTTCTGTATTATTCTCCATCCACATATGGGAATTGTACCGATTGATAACAATATGATGGAACAATCTGGATAGTAGACTGCTTAGACTAGCAAGTATTCTCTACATCCACAAATGTGAGTTTTCTTGCACACGAAGTTTATGCAGTTTATTGTTTGGGATTTTGGAATATGGTAATTTTACACCCACATGTATAAATTAACGTATTTAAGTAAAGATTTTGGGGACAGTTTATCCATGTATATTCATGGTGGAGTGATGCAAAAGACAACATATGCGAATTAATAAGAATTTCTCTTTATCCATAGATGTGGGGATTTAACATATGAAAGGAATTCATATATGAACTCTTTTGATGATCACTAAAAACATGTTTGATTCTCAACCCACAAGTGTGAATCAATAATGTACAAATATTTAAGTATTATGGGACAGCTTATTCAGATATGTTTGTGTTTAAAAACTTTTGGAATGTCACAATGAACCTTAACTCCATTAGGAGCATTTGCGGTTTTTGTTTTCTTAGAAGAATTGCAATACATGTCCTGTTCATCTTTTTGATAAATCTCATGTGTTTAAGTTGTTGATGGTAATTTATTAAAAATGATCTTAAATAGTCATAAAAGTTGTTTTCATGACTCAAGGAAAGACATTTTTGGTTCATCACATAAAGGGAAACATGAGCTATTATGGACCTTTCTTGCTTGGCTATACGTTTTGCTTATGTATAATATGGTTGATGTTTGGTTGTTTTTCATATGAAATTAAGGGACTATTTCTTGACATACATATGGTTGGATTGATCCATACGTGTAAAGGGATTGATACGTACTTGATTGGATTGGATCACGTAAAGTTGCATTGATAGATAAGATTGTGTTTTAATATCAAGTTAAAGTAATATAAGATTGGCTGGTTTTGTAAGCTTTGTTATGCTGGTTGGTTTAGAAACTTAATTAAGGCTGATTCAATATAATTGTTTGGTTAACTGGTTAAGTCCAGAAAGCGTCATTTAAGTTGAATTAAAGTCTATTGACGAACATGCCTATCTGAATTACTAAGTTAATTCAATTTAAATTTATAATAATAATTGGTTTTTGCATCATGTGTTTTATGGCATGATTGGTGTAATGTTTAAACACCTTCAGTTTTGAATTTCAAGCATAAAGAGAAATTTGTCTTGTGAATGTAAGTTTACATGCTTTACAAGTATTAATTTGCAGATGCATCGCTTGCATTTCAGGAGCATCTTAATTCTATTGACATGAATATTGCATCAAAGTTCTCAATTCTCAGTTTTCTCAACGTCTAATTATATATCATGTTATATAGAATTCATGCATATTATTAAAAAAGATTATCTAAATACCCAAGGAAGGATAACTTTTGAATAATCACTTAAAGAAAACGTGGACTTTTTGCATGGCACATTTTTGTTATAATTTCAAAGAAGATGTCATGCAATATGAAGCTTATATCATGTTTAAGAATATTGTATTACTGTTATTTCTTGATTGAATGAGTTGCATGGATCAAATTGCACTTTTGATTGAGGTCATTAATTTTGGTTTAAATCAAAAGTAGCACATTCCAATATATAAAAATACTCAAGATACAAACGATCTCTTGATATTGTTCAAAGTGTTTAAAATTAATAAAGTGATATTTTATATATTTTGGTTTTGGGATATGGTTTTAATTGTTTCGTTTGCACTTACATGGAACTTACTGTTTTATGATGTTTAGAATGCACATAAGGATAATTAAATTTTGAGGAGCATATTGATAGCATTCATAATTTTATAGTTATTTAATTTTTCAGTTTTGAACTACGCTGTTATGATGTCTATTTACATAATGTTGTAGTACAAATTAATATGTGATGAAATTAGCGATAAGGATCATTTTCTAAGCTTTCTTTAGATGCTGAATTCATGAAAATATGTTGAGAATTGAATTTTTGATGAATTTATAAAGTTGATGCATGGGAATTTTCCTGACAGTTTCTGGATTATATATAAAGATTGTTGAATGACTCACCTAAAGATCTTCAAATGACCTGAATTTTTGATATGTTAATCATATACTTGTCTTCGTGAATTCTACAAAGTTTCGTGATTATTGGATGTATAGTTTATTTGTGAGAATTTTATTAGTGATCTGTGTTCAGGAAAAGCATGCGCTGACAGATTTTCTAAGTAACTTTGTAGATCAATTTCAGACCCCTTAATTAGCTATAAACGACTCTCCAATTTTGCTGTATGAAGATAAATGTCTCTAGTTTGTTTCCATGAAATTTAATGCTAATCCAACTTATAAATTAATTATGATAAATTTTCTCAAGTAATCACATATATTGCTAGAAATTTCTTGATATTTTTGTGCATTTAGGCTTATATTGTGAGTACATCAAGAGCACGCCTTGAAAGTTCTTTTACACCATTTTGTCGTAGTGTTTCTAATCATAAGGTCATTGGTGCAGTATACATTGAAGTAGCAAAGTAATGACTGTTGGCCCAAGTGGGAGAAGTGATATAAAGTTTTGGGCTTCACACTCAATACCTTATTATCTTGTATTTTGATAAAGCTCATAAGGGTTTTGGAGCATACTTGGAACTGTTTTCTGGTTGTTGACACATTGACCTTTTACATCTTAAGTGTTGGTTTTATGCGTCTATATATTTATTATAAATTTTTGGATGACTGGCTGTTTTGTTTTTGGCTACTAAAGTTCTTACAATGGCTTAACCATTTTTTAGCTTTTACTGTAAAGAAAATTTAATTGATATTAAAAGTTGAGGCCTAATCCTAAGGAAATGATTCCAGTGAAAATAATATGATTTGTTCTATGCTCATTTCTTGATACATGTTTTGGGTGCAAAATATGTGCTCAATAAGTGGGAGCATTCAATGGTCTTCTTTGTCTCATACATTTAGTTTTGATTGTTTATGATTAATCACTTAATGTTCCAGTTATTGATTAAGGGTTTTAAGGCTAATACGGACAAAGATTGTTTGGATGTGTTAATTGCTCCTATTAATTCATACCATTTTGTTCAAAGTCTACAGGAGTTAATCAATGAATTAGTTTGGATATGCAAAATCAGTGAGAGCCGAGTTTTATTCTACTTAATTTCATTATTTTCTTTGAGACAGTTCAATTATTTTGTTTGCTACTGTTTGGTTCAATTCTTTTAATAAATTATGTGACTTCAGTTTTATGTTTATTATTATTGACAAGTGAATCTAGTTACATGTCATCATGCAGTATAGCTAGCTACAATCAGTGCATAAGACATGAATTCATACCAAAGTCATTAAGGAGAGATCTTGTAATCTCTTAAAGAAGTGAACTACATATGGTAATGACATATAAAGCATTTTTTTAAAGAAAAGTCATGTTCATCCTGTGTTCTAATCTTGACGGAAGCTTTATGTGGCTATGCAGATAGGTATATGTGATTATAAAGGTCCTGGATGTTTTATATTCAAGGCACCTTGATGATCCAATGCTTGTTTTCATAGTTGACCAAGAACTTGTTTAGGAATACAGTTTAATTGATTTTTCCATGGCCATAAAGTTGTTGAAACATGGTTTTGTTGATTATTGACCAAGTGGAGAATGTAAGATTTTTATGTCTTAAATCTCACTCAAGTGGTCTACTAATCAACATAGCATTTCAAACCAATGTGGAGACTAGGAATTTGATTATAACTGGACTTGTAAATCTTGGAGAGAATTGTTTCAGTTTAAGTCCAAGACTGCTAAGGTTCCTAATTCATGGTGGATTAGAACTCCTAATTCTAATGCAATAAGGAGAGAGGTTGAGGACTCCTTGATGGGCAAGGAGTTCCGACTGATGCATATAAATACATAAGTCCCTACTCATATCGAATTACCCCACTCTAGAGAGCTCATACCCCATCTATGAGAGAGTATACAGAAATCAATATTGAGGAGGAGTGTTTTGTGTGTCAAGTTGCTCTTTCGATCATTCCAATGACTACAGAACAAGGTAGTGTTCTCTTATATGTAATCTATTTAGTTAACATGTCGCTCTCCAGTAACCCATTTCCAGCAGAACCATTTTCAGTTAGTTTCCTCTCATTTTCTGCCCAAATTTTTTTTCCAACAAAACAATGAAGTTGTAGTAAACAAGGTTCTTATGTCATGTCCAAACCAACAACTACCATTGGAATTAACTCTTTTTGGGCTCTATATTATTTTCTTGTTTGTTGGATACTAAGATTTTAACGTCTCCTTGTCAACATGAACTGAACTTCACCACTACAAGTCAAAAGTTCAATTTATTGAAATAAATTGAAATGACCCTCACCATTGCAGATGCTCTTAGAAAAGGGTCATGAGTTCGAGTCATAGCATTGGTCTAGTGTGTGATTTTAATATATTATCGCCCATCTCAATAGAAAATGTCTTCACACAAAAAAAACTCATTTTCCACTAAGTGTGAGACATTCCACACTCTAACCCTTTCTTTTTTTTTTCTTCTTTTTTTTAGCAGAAACCCTTTCTCTCTTCTATCGATGTGGGACATGTGGTCTTGAATTTCATCCAAGCATCCAACATTGCTTTCCACTTATTTTCGTCATATGTATAGGAAAAGTACTTTCTGACAAAATGGTGGAGGGAGAATGGGAATTTATGTTTTTTCTGCACCCAGGCAACTTGTCAATGAACCTAAAGCGTAAAAAGACCAAAAAATTGGTACAGTGCTACACTAAAATGTGGACCCACTCCATACATATTTGTATTAGAATGATTTGCGAAAAGAAATGCATTTCTCAGCAATTTCTTAGATGTTGATCAGAAAGTGTACTGGAGATTTTTCCGTGTCCAACCCGCGTTGAAGACACATTTAAGATGTTGGTTGACATGCAGCTGACCCTTATCCTTAAATTTGAAAGAGGTAGCAAATTTTTGAAGCATCAGGTTTGTGTTGTACTACCCAATTTCCCCCTATAGAGAAAACTAAAAACTTGAGGAAATGTATACACAGCTTTTTGAGGCAATTGCAGCAAATGACAAGCAAACTTTCATTAATTTGGTTCACGGCAATGAAGGATTTCTCAGTTAAAAGTGAAGCCAAAAACAGTGGGTAGGGAGCCTGAATATTTTCAGACTTGCCTGTGAGCTGTGACACAGCCATTTTGGAATTTCAAGCTTTAATTTTTTTTTTTTTTTTTTTTTTTTTTTTTTTTTTTTTTTTTTTTTTTTTTTTTTTTTTTTTTTTTTTTTTTTTTTTTTTTTTTTTTTTTTTTTTTTTTTTTTTTTTTTTTTTTTTTTTTTTTTTTTTTTTTTTTTTTTTTTTTTTTTTTTTTTTTTTTTTTTTTTTTTTTTTTTTTTTTTTTTTTTTTTTTTTTTTTTTTTTTTTTTTTTTTTTTTTTTTTTTTTTTTTTTTTTTTTTTTTTTTTTTTTTTTTTTTTTTTTTTTTTTTTTTTTTTTTTTTTTTTTTTTTTTTTTTTTTTTTTTTTTTTTTTTTTTTTTTTTTTTTTTTTTTTTTTTTTTTTTTTTTTTTTTTTTTTTTTTTTTTTTTTTTTTTTTTTTTTTTTTTTTTTTTTACAAGTAAATGTAGGGGAAGTCAGGAATGGAAATCATTCCCTTTCCTCCCATACCCATTACTGATACGTAAAACATGCCCTAAAAGAAAAGGCAAAAAGTTGGCTATATTCATTAAGGGCTAGGTCCATAGTTTCTTGGGCAAAAATGACTCAAGCATTTTTTAACAAATATTTTCCTAATCACAAGACAATTGCTCTTAAGAAAAAAATCTCAAATTTCTCTCAGAAGGAAAATGAAACTTTATATCAAACTTAGGAAAAATTTAAAGAGCTTTTGAATTTGTGCCCACACCATGGCTTTGAAAACTAGCGTCTTGCTAGCTATATCTATGAGGGACTTCTCCCTCTTGATCGCCAATTTGTTGAGTCTATGTGTAATGGAAATTTTATGCAAAAAGACCCTGATGATGCCCTAGAATTTTTGGATGAAATTGCTGAAAAGCCCATCAATAGGCCGCTCCCAGTCTAGTTGAAACCACTGATCGGTCAAGAATTGCTACATCTTCTACTAATAAAAGAATTTATCAATTAAAAGAAGATGATAATTGGAAATTAAAATTTGAGGTTTTGACTAAAGAGATAGCAGCTTTAAAAATGGAAAAATAAAATTTGCCTCAACTTGTTTATCAAGCTGATATTAATCAAGTATGTGATTCTTGTTATGAGATTGGTCATACTGTTAAAAATTGCCCAATTTTTCAGGAAATGAAAGGAGCTTATGAGGAGCGTTGTTCTGCTATTGGAAACTTAAACAACAATATTCTCCTTTTTCCAACACATACAGGGCATGTTTACGTATCAGTAATGGAGAAACTAAGGAATCAGAGAATTTAGGAATCGGAGAACTATTGAATCGGTATGGGAAGAATCATTCCCATTAAGCTGTTTACTAAACATCTGGAATTAGCAATGGAATGGGATTGATTCCCATTGTTATTGTTTACTAATTTCCATGAATCAGAATCCAAATTAATTTTAGAATTATGGTAAAGTGATAAGGGTATTTTTGGAAGTTATTAAGAGAAAACAAGAATGGGAATCGTATCGACTACTCCCCCCTAGTTGATCTGATTCCTAGTTTTGAGGGAATGTGATTACGAATTTTGAGGTGGGGCCCACTTATTTTTTCATTCCTGATTGCAACTAAACGCAGGAGAAGTCAGGAATGGAAATCATTCCCTTTCCTCTCATTCCCATTACTGATACGTAAACATGCCCACAGTCCAGCAACAAGGAATCATCCACATTTTCGTTGGAGCAATGAGCCACAACCTCAAGTAAGTGATAGAAATTCTTTCAATCATCATTTTTCTACAACTAATCAATTTAATGCTAGACCTTCTTTGAGCGATACTCTTCAAGCATTGCAAAATCAAAGGTATGATACCTTGTTTGGTCAATTGGTTGAAGAAAATAAAGAAATTAAAAGCCAAATTTCTAAATTGACAAATTCTGTTGCAATAAATGAAAAAGGAAAATTTCCTTCTCAAACTCAACCAAATCCAAAGAATGTTAATTCATGTGAAACCTCAATTAAACATGCCAAGTCTGTCATTACTCTTAGAAGTGGTAAAATAATTGATAACACACCTTCACCAAAGGAAGTTGAAAAATCTAGGAATAATGATGGACTAAACAAGTCCAAATTGAGTGAATCAAATGAATATCATTTTCCTGCTCCATTTCCCCAAGCTTTAAATCCTCCAAAGAAATTGAATCAAAATTCTGAAATTTTGGATGTCTTTAAAGAAGTCAAAGTTAATATTCCTTTGTTAGATGCTATTAACAGATCCATTCTTATGCTAAATCTTTAAAAGATCTGTGCACATTTAAAAGAAAGCATCATGTGAAGAAAACTGCATTTTTAACTGAACATGTGAATGCATTGTTGCAACATAAGGTCCCTCCTAAATACAAAGATCCAGGAAGTCCCACTCTTTCATGTGCAATTGGAAAAAATTACATCAATTGTGCTTTGCTTGATTTGGGGGCTAGTGTAAATTTATTGCCATATTCAGTATATCTGCAATTAGGTCTTGGTGAATTGAAGCCCACAACAATGAAGTTGCAACTTGTTGATCGTTCTGTGCGAATGCCGAGAGGGGTAATTGAGGATGCATTGGTCCAAGTGGACAAATTTTACTACCCTGTTGACTTTGTTGTTTTGGATACACAACCTGTTTTGCATTCTGAAAATGAAATTCCTGTCATTTTAGGACGTCCCTTCCTTGCTACATGTGACGCACACATTAGTTTTAGGAGAGGGGTAATGGAACTCAATTTTGGTAACATGACATTGGAAATTAACATTTTTAATGTTTTCAAGCGACCTTATGAAGATGATGAATTAATGTGCAGTGGTGAACTTGATTGAAGCTCTTGTGCAGGATCAATTTGAGAAGACTAGTATTTTTGAACCTTTAGAGGCTCTTTTATTGAATTCTAAATAATCTGAATTACTTTAGAATCCAGAAATTGTTGATCTTAATTCATTGTCACCAGTCACCAGGTTCTCACCCTAAAGAAATCTTCGTGCCCTTTTTTAGTTGTTGTTTTTCTACGAATCAATCAAACTAACTTAGGCATCTGAGGGCCTTCAGCCAAAACCCCCCGGATGTGGTCCTTTTACTCCGATTGGTTTACCAGGGAGAAAGAGTTCAAGGAAGGAGAAAGGGGAATCTATTGATCGAATATTTTAAGGGACGAAAATCACTCCCACATTTATCCTATACAAGATAACTATAACAAATAATAGTAAACACATATGAGACTTAGTAGCAGTAGATCCTGTCAAGTCCGGATTTATCAGTCAAAACGGAGAAATGAAGGGGAAAGTGCACCCAATCCACTAGTCAATGAACCTTAAGCCTAAAATAGGGCTACACTAAAATGTGGACCACATAAATTTTAGAAGAGTGTTGTTATTTCCACCCACCTATTCTATTTCTCCACCCACCTTATCTTCCCACCCACCATGAAAATTTGAAAAACCACAATCCTATCTTTGCACCCACTATTATTCCTAAAATGCCCTTCCATTCACTTAACACTTTTAACCCTAACTTAACACTAGTATTGATTGAGTCCGAAAAATTTTAAATAAATAATAAATAATAAAAAGGTTTCCAGCAGCCACCCACCTCACACTCCATAAAACCTTAACAAGAACCACACATACCTTCCACCTCGGGCCAAGCCTCCCCTCCTCCGTCCTCCTCCTCATGTTTCTTTCACCATTATTTCAGTTGTATTGAACAACACCTTCAAACCCCAATCTAACATTCTTCTCCTCTCTCTCCATTTCAATCAACCCCGAATAAAAAAACCCACGAGAAATATTACATCAATGGGCCCAGATCTAAGACGACACTTCGACTGCATTGCCTGCCAAAGTCGCTCATCCTAGTCTTCATCAATATCAGCAACTTCATGGCCCTTTATTCCTCCCAAGTTTCCAATTTGAGAGAGTTAGAACATTCCAATCTTTATTCTTTCCTTCTTAACTATTTCCTAGACATGCCCAGTTTGAGGGATTCAACCCTTCCGAAACCAAAATAAAATTTTTTTTTTTTTTTTTTTTTTTTTTAATGCAAGAAAAGTTATAAAAACAACATAAGGGATTTTGTCAATCAATTTTATAAGTGCAGCAAAGTCTAACATTTAATAGAAGCTGCAATCGTATGAAGATCTATGGCCTACCCAGACAACAATAAACAAAGAGAAAAAGAAATTTATTTTCGCTAATTTAGATTTATGAAAAAGAAAAATAGAGAGGAGGGCAACTGGGAATCTTACAAGAGCAACTCATTTGGTTTAGGTGGCAACTGATGATGTGGCTGGCGGTGAGGTGACGAGGGGAGGTTGGTTTGGTTGTCACAAGGTTGGGTGGGTAGTCTGAAGGTTGTTTGCTAGGCTCTTTTATTTATTTATTATAATTTTTGTTTTTATTTTTACTTTTACTTTTATTTTCTTGACTTAACAGTGTTAACTTAGAGTTAAGTCCTTAAAAGTCATTTTAAAATAGGCTAAATTTGCTTTTAAAATTTTGAAGATAAGGTAGGTGGGAAAATAGGATAAGGGATGGGAATACCAGCACTCTTTTACAATGATTGGTGCAAAGAATTAATTAATGAGAGATCTCTGTAGGAATCAAACATAAATAACCTAAGAAAAAAAAATAGGGAAGAAGATTTTGGTGAGGAACATACTAAAGCTAAAAATGTCACACTAAGATCCATAAAAAGTGCACAAGGTGCAATTGTAATGGCAACTTTTAAGCTTGGTGAGGGTGCAGGAGTGTCGGAAAAATACGGTTCAGGTGGGACAACACCGGAAAATTGAAGAAAGAAACATGAATTTTAACTGTATGTTGAAGGCAGTACGATTTCTTAGGTGGAGGGAGGGTGGTCAGACGGAGAAATGAAGGGGAACGTGCACCCAGTCAACTAGTCAATGAACCTTAAGCCTAAAACAGGGCTACACTAAAATGTGGACCACATAAATTTTAGAATGATTGTGAAAAGAAGTAATTAATGCATTTCTCAGCAATTTCTTAGGTGTTAATCAGAAAGTATACTGGAGATTTTTCCACGTAGAATCCGCGTGGAAGTGAAGAGAAAAAGCATAACCTGCTCCTTGAAGAAGATGCTTAAGATGTTGGTTGGCATGCAGCCTGAGGAAAACTCACATTATAAATATTCCCTCATCCTTAAAAGTTGAAGACCTATCATTATTGCTAGGGCACTACTAAAAAAACTCACATTATAAATATTCTCTTCTCTTCTCTTAAATTGTACTGCCTGGACCATTTGGTAACATACACATTCTGCTCCAAACTCCCCCTTAGAGAGAAAACTAAAAGCTTGAGGAAATGGATCCAAAGCTTTTTGGGGCAATTGCAAGAAATGACAAGCAGACTTTCATCAATTTTGTTCAAGAAAATGAAGAATTTCTCAGTCAGAAATCCGGTGAAGCCAAAAACACTGTGTTACACGTTGCTGCGAGGTTCGGGCACGTTGAGCTGGTTTCTGAAATCATTAAGCTCTTACCGGACTTGGTTTCAGCTGTGAACAATAGAGAAGAAACTCCATTAGATGCAGCTTGTCGACAAGGGAAAGCCGATGTTGTAATGCTGCTATTAGAGGCCGATCCTTGGGTGGCTTGTATGCTTAACTCTGAAAATCAAACCCCCTTCTTCATAGCTTGCAGTTATGGGAATCGTGAAGTGGTGAAGCTGTTCACAGACCTACCATGGGTACTAGATTTTGAAGAAGATGCGGTTTTGAGTGCTCTTCATGTGTCCGTAGCACAAGGCCGTGCGGGTAAGGCTGACAGCAACTTCATTCTCTATGCCTAATTCATGTTAAAGCAATGATGTTTGGTTGATTGTGAACTTACATTTTGAGCTAACAATGTTGTAGATATTGTTACAACACTTTTGAATGCACGACCAAGGCTTGCTCGGAAGGCTGACAGCAATGGATGTTTACCATTACATTTGGCTTGTGAGAACGGTCGCTTGGAGATAACTAGAATACTCTTACAGCTTGATCCAAACCTTGCCCTTGAAAAGAATCATTCTCGTTACACGCCATCACACTTGGCAGCAATGAATGATCAAACCGAAATCCTTGAGGAACTTTTGTCCGGGTCTCCTAGATCTTTCGAAGTTCTCACCGGAAACGGAGAAACAGTGTTTCATCTTGCTGCCATGTTCAACCGATACTGTTCCTTTCTCTTTTTGGAACAATCTCTTAACAGCACCAATCTCCTCCATCGGCCAGACGAACGTGGAAACACCGTCTTGCATCTAGCAGTCTCTAAAAAGGGCTTCAAAGTAAGTTTCTCCCTCAAAATTTACTGTTCAGTTTTAGCTTTTCTCTTGAGGAACAAATTTAACATTATTAAGTGAAGAACCATAAGACGGAAATCTTGGCTTCTTCAACTCCGACTGATCCTTCAACATGTGGAAATTTCAGTTAGCAGAGTACATCATTGAGAAAACTGAGGTGGATATCAATGGTCGGAACCATAGTGGGCAAACAGCCTATGACATCCTCAACCGGCGATTTAGCATGACGGAGAACCAGCATGCTAGGGACGTGTTGAAGAGATTTGGTGGCAAAACGGCACAAGAATTAGAAACGCCTATTGAATTTAATCCGCACCAAAGTGTACATGATTACAGAAATGGTGTAGCCAACAACCAACCAATGGAAGACTTCACAACAACACAAGCGGATAGTAATGCCAGTCATCAAGTAACAATAAACTTTGGCAACCAGATAGATAGTCCTTCTGCACCACCAACCAATTTGCATCAATCCAAGCTTGTGAAGGAAAGAGGGAAGAAAAAAATAAGTGCAGTTAGGCAATATGAGATATATACAGAGGCCCTACAAAATACCAGGAACACAATCACACTAGTTGCCGTTTTGATTGCATCAGTTACTTTCACCGCTGGCATAAACCCTCCCGGGGGTGTGTACCAGGAAGGACGACTAAAAGGACAGTCAACAATTGGAAGAACAACTGCTTTCAAGGTCTTCACAATAAGCAACACAGCTGCGTTGTTCTTATCTATGTGCATAGTCATTGTCTTAGTGAGCATCATTCCCTTCCGGCGTAAAACACTGATGAAGCTACTGGTGGTTGCTCACAAAGCCATGTGGGTGGCTGTGTCACTCATGGCCACAGCTTACATTGCAGCCACATGGGTGATCTTGCCACACTGTCAAGGAACAAATTGGACCCTTGAGGCTCTCATATCTGTATGTGCAGGGACTATGGGATCTGTTTTTCTATTTCTTGGTGTCACATTCGCCAGACACTGGTTGAGGAAGTTACAGTGGAGGAAAGAGAGAGGTAAGGTTACCGAGGAAAGAGTGGAGGAAAGAGCTCAAAGAAGAGCACAGAGGAGGGCAGAGAAGACAACAAAGGAAAGAGTGCAGAAAAGAGAAAGGGCGGAGAAGAGAGCAAAGGGAAGTGGACAAGAAAGTTCACAGGAAGGATCAGACGATTTAATGTCCATAAACTCAGACACTGGCAGTGCTCAAGATTCGGGATATCATACGTACTGAAGAATTGCTTAGGAGTGGGAAATTGATCACCCAACAGAGGATGAAGATGTAATCACTCTCAGTGTTTAAGAGTTTTGGTTCCCATTTAGCATATGCTTTTGCATAAGTTTCCTTTCTGTGTGATTTGATCATTTGTGTCAAAAAAATGTTATTACGTAAAAGCAGATCTCTAGAGGAATTAAACATAAGCATCAAACTTCAACAACCTTAAGACAAAAAAAAACATCATCGTCAAACATACATCCCATCCCAACATTACATAAATGATAAATAATGTTCAACATTAATGAATAATTTAAAGCAAAATACGGAGTCACAATAGATCCTAACAGCCAGAATTTAAAAAATAAAAAATAAGAAAAAATAAAAATAAAAAATAAAAAAAGTGGAAGAAGATTATGGTGAGGAACATACTGAAGCTACAAATGTCACAATAAGAGCCATAAAAGGTGCACAAGGTGCAACTGCAATGGCAACTCCTAAGCTTGGTGAGGGTGCAGGAGAGTCAGACAAGTACGGTTCAGGTGGAGGAGACTGTGAGATCAGGCGTGGATCCATCACTTCGAAAAAAATCCGCTGGCCATTCTTGCAGTGATCAGGAGCTCTACTGATAAAATAGAAGGGGCCAGGCCTATCAAGTTTCATAATGCTCTTCCCGTTATCAAATGCGATTATGGGATTGCTTGTGATGCAGTGGTAATTGTGGGAACCGAATTAAATCAGACCCTAAGTCAAATAATTTCATCCATTTGAGGATTATTTGACATAATTGGGAATTACTCAACTTACTTGGGAGTTACTCAATTAATTGAGGATTACCTAATTAAATTGAGAATTGATTTCCTAACCCAATTCCCAATTAAATGAGGAGTTACCTAATTAAATTAGGATTTGATTTGATACCTACCACAATTAGGGATTTAATTTACCCTAATAAATCAAATCCATGATTAATCAAATCAATTCCAAATCGGGGAGGAATAATTCCTTTTCATCTATGGAATTATTCCTCTGAAACCCTAGCCTCCGAGACCACTATAAAAGGATGGCTACACACAAAGGTTAAGGTACGTCTAAATTCCTACTAAAACTCTACATAAATCATTTCTCCAAAACTCTAGCCACCATATTCTTTCTCTCTCTGACGCTAGACTCTGGCCACCACACACGGCTCCGGCCACCCGGTTTTCCTTGAAATACCCTACCTAACTTAGGCATCAGAGGGCCTTTGGCCAACACCCCCCCCGGGTGTGGTCCTTTTACCCCGATCTGTTTTGCAGGGAGAGAGAGAAGCGGAGAAGACGAAGGAATCTTAGACGAATATTCTAGTGGGACGAAATTTGCTCCAACAAATTGGTGCTTTCATTGAGAGCACGAGATATATTCAAAGCGTGCTCCAAATCCATCTTTCACACATTTTTTCAAACAACCATGGTTGATACAAGACGTACGAAGAGTAACGCCACCACAACGGGCCCATCTCATGGTTTCATGGTGGAAACCTCAATGCAACCGCACGGAATCATGGCTGCCAACACCTTGCAGCCATCTTCTAGTGCTTTGCAGCCGCCTTCAGCTGCTGGAATTGCATAACAGCCGCCACATGACCCCAGGACCTCCACAGCCTTGCAGTCGCCAGCGCCAATTGCCAAAGCTACTCTGCCTCGCTGTCCTGTTGTCGGAGCACAACAGCAGCCACACCACTCAGCTGCTGGATTTGCTGCATAGCCCCACGGCTACTCCGACATCGTCCCAATCTTGGAGCAGATCCATTCTCTCCCTCATCTACAATCACACTTGACATATGCACATGTGTACGCGTCTAATGGAGCCCTAGCCCATATGTCGTTTGGCCCGATGCACACCACTCTACTTGACCAGCGCAGTCAGGTGGACCTTAACTCACGGGTTGATCAACTCACACAGAAGGTCGATGATCAAAACAACCTGATTGGCCAGCTACTCAGGCATATCAACTTGGATCAAGGCCCTAACCTTGGACCCCGTGATGAGGAGATGAGGGGGCACGAGCATGCTGGCGAGCAGTTCGAGAGGTCTCAGGCTGGTCAGACAAGGGCGAACTAACAGGGGAGAGAGTAAGATTGTGCAGACGAGACGCAGACAGCTGCAAGCCGCACTCTAAGCCGTTCGAGGTTAGGTCCAAGGACTAATGCGCTCGAGAGGCTAGGCCCACACTCCAATGTCCATGCTCGCTTGGGCCCACAAGGAGCTCGAGATCGTGAGCGGTCGCGTGACAAGCACAACGATCGACGCCCACCAGCCTGCTCGAGGACCAACACACGGTGACAAGCTGTAGAGGGATCCTCCCAAACTCAAACTTCTCACCTACCCCACGGGCAGGGCAACCAATGGGATAGACCCTTGAGAGCTGAAGAAGAAGTTAGCTAGTCGCGCTCGAGGCACCCAAGACGTCGACCTGAGCGACCTTCCTTGCGAGCGGAGGATGGCAATCGACGCCCACCAGCCCGCTCGAGGACCAACACGCGGCGACAAGCTGCAGAGGAATCCTCACAAGCTCAATCTCCTAATCTGCCCCACGGGCAGGGCACCCAAGGGGATCGACCCTTGGGAACCGAGGAAGAGGTTAGCCAGTCGAGCTCGAGGCACTGTAGACGTCGGCCCGAGACTCTAACCTTGCAGGCAGACGATGTGGACAAGCTAGTAAATGACCAACTCCAAGGTCTCCGACTTAAAGGAAGCACGGAAGAGGCCCTGTGCAAGGAACTTGATCGAGTTGACTGCTCGCCCTTTACCGACGAGGTGGAACGAGCTCCGCCACCGAAGCGGTTTACAACGCCATTCGTCACTCCATTTAAGGGGGACTCTGATCCTGAGAGCCATTTAAGGCACTTCAAAAGCGTCATGATCCTGTACAACGCAGACGACACCCTGATGTGCAAAGTGTTCGCGATGACTCTGCGAGGAGCAGCTCAAGATTGGTTCCACACTTTACCGTCTGCGTCGATAGGCAACTTCAAGGAGTTCGCCCTCATTTTCACAAAGGAGTACCTCCTACAAAATGGTCAGAAAGCATGCAGACCATCCGTTCAACCTATGCAAAAAGCCAAACGAGTCTCTACGAGACTACCTAACACGGTTTAAGGTTGAGAAAGCTAACATCATAGGATGCAATGACCAAGTTACATCCTCATCTTTCAAGAAGGGGTTGCCAACCGAGCACGAGCTATACCGGGAGCTGGCCATAACTCCAAGCCAAACCTTGACGGAAGTGTTCGCGACGGCAGAGCGTAACCCACTTTGGGACGATGATCGTATCACCGCGAAGAAAGCCAGCAAGCAAATTGACCACCCGACGAAGCAGGCAAGCCAAAAGAGCAACAAGTTCGAGCAAAAAGCCCGAGATAAACGTAGATGGCGACCCCAAGAAAGAGGTTCAGAAACAGGGACCTTCACTGAGTTCGTTATCCCAATCCACCAGATCCTAGCACAAGTGAAGGACAAGCCGTGGGTGAGAAGACGGCCACCCATGAGGGGAGACCCCTCTAACGTTTTCGGTTGTCTTAAGCTTCCCTTATACAGCGGCACCAGTTTTGTACAGCCCACCGTCCTCAGCTGATATGGCAGAAAAAGTTTCAGAAGCAGGAGGAATATCTAAACTGGAAAGGAACATCTCAGTTGTACAGAGAAAGGGATATACCAGTGATGAGGAGCTGGAGGAGCTGGATTCTCCTCTAACATCCATCATTGACAAATTACCGTTATCTCCAACTATCGTAGCAAATGGAAATGGAAAACATGAGCACACGGGTCATGCCTGCATGAATGCGAGGTACGAACTGCTTCGTGAGGTGTGGTCTGGGTAAATGTTGAAGGAGCAGACTCCGGACTCTATGTATACCTGTTGTTTCTGTATCAACAAAGTTATGGAGAAACTTAAACAGAACTGTGAATAATGAAGGCAAATATCAAGAGGATTTGAAGTCTTTAGGCTATTCTCAAAATATGGCTAAAGCCATTAGTTTTGCGTAATCTTTGTTTTTTGTATATTTATAGTGAGCTTCGTTATCATATATCAAATAATAGAGATTGCTTCATGCTCAGCGAACTCGCGAACTCAGTCTTGAATAATCTATCCAAGTTTCGACCAAAAAGAAAAAGAATAATCTATCCAAGTGCAACAGAAATGACGCTACTGTCATCGTCTTCGAGATTAACATAATATTTGATTTCTTATGTGTTAGTAACGCATGAGAAGTGAAAAATTGGAATTATTCAAATACCAATGTGTTAGTAAACACATGAGAAGCATGAATTGGAATGATTCCGATATCCATGTATAGTAATAGAATACTGAAGGTAGTGTTTTTCACTCTCCGTTTGGCTTCCATCACTTCAATTAGGGGTGGGGAGGTGCGTCGGGAGAGCGGGTGAGGCTTGGCGGGTAATGAGTTGGTGCGGGGATGAGAATGGATGTTGCGTCTGTGCAGTGGGAGCCTTTGCCCAAATTGCCAAGCAAGCGATATGACTGATAATTGGGCAAGTGTACAAAGTACAAACCAATGGCACAATAGAACCATAAGACAACGAAAAAGAACATCTAAACTTAAATCAAGTCTAGAACAAAGTTCGCAAACCCATCACAATAACCCAAAAAAACTCAAATAAGACAATACACGTAGTCCAGTGACCCACCCCAAATACAATCAGAGCCCAAAATAAGTGTAGGGGACTTTTTCTTCCTGCAGCTAACGGGCTGGGCTGCTGCAAAAGGTGGACTGAGGAGATTGCCCCCTTTTCGTTTAGGTTCGAAAATTAAGCCTCAAAATACCTCGAAAGGGCAGCGAAACCTTAGGAGATATTTTGAGTAATCTTCACCAATGAGAATAATAGTGACTTACAGATAATTTTTGCATGCTTTCAGATGGTTTTTAGGCTCAGCATGAGTGGCATGAGGCATGGAGAGCAAAACCAACATGGGTTTAGCACTAAGAGAGAAATTAGGCTTGGTTTATGAGGAATGAAAGTGTTTAAGTAAGGAATGGGGTGTTTTGTGAGGAATTTTGGCTAGAAAAAGAGAAAGAGAGAGACAGGGTTCTTCCAGCAGCTACCAGAAGAACAAATTGGAGAAGAAGATGAACAGTGCACGAATCTAAGTTTTGCAAGATAGAGAGAAAAGCTTGCTCTCTGCAGGTTGTGAGTTGTGTTTGTTGGGTAGGGGAAGGCTTAATTTATAGCTGCCGGAAATCACCATTTTTCAAGAAACCCTAATGGCTCCTTCTTACTTTGGCTGAGATTTTCTTCCTTTCTCCTCCCCTTCTCTGACTTCCCTTTCTTGGCAAAGATGGCTTCTGTCTATCTTCATGAATTTAGGAGATTTTGGGGCTCAACATCCCTCTTTCCCGCGGCTACGCAGTGAGGGCTTCCACTCTTAGTTTGCTGTTTTTCTTCCTTTTCTTTCTTCTTCTTTGCTGAATCTGATGAAGGAAAGGAGGTGCAAATGTATGCTGGTCCAAGGGATGCTTCTGACAGCATGCAGGATGGTATTCATCGGTTCTTTGGATGTCTCTGGCTTGGGACTGGTTTCCAGCAGCTTACTTAAGGAGCCTGCCATCTACTCCTTCACGTGTTCTCTGTTTTTTCAAAAAAAGGCTGAAGCTCTTGTGGGCCTTTTTGGGTTTTTCTAAGGGCCAAGATGGCTTTCTTAAGCGAATGGGCTTATTGGGCTTGATTTGGGTTTATTATTATTTTTGGTTGGGTTATCTCTTGGCTAGGTTATTTGCTTGGGCTTTTGGGCTATTTTTTCTCTCTTGTGCCTACCCACATGTTTGGGCCTAAGAAATGGGCCTGAGTCTCGAGGCTCCCAAGCAACCCGAGACTTTCCATTTCTTGGTCCATCAATGGGCCTCATGTTGATTTATCACCATCCATGCCACAACCCACTCAAGCAAGCCCCGGGGTCTTTTTTGAGTGGCTTGGGCCCACCTAGGCTTGTAGCGTGGTTGGGTGCGAGATAACGGCATGGCATGTTGCTCGGCATATTTTACCTTATCGCCCTTGGGAAGGATTGTTTTAATTTTTTAGCATGATTATATTTTATCATAGCATGATAATTTGTTTATTTAGCGTGGCGTGTGGGTTATAACTTGCATGCGATAGATCCCTTTTTTCTTTTCCCTTATGGAATATTGTATTGGGCTGATAATTGTTCGGGCCCAATCCATGGATTTTTGGGCCTCAACATTAGCCCCCTTAATTATAAGGGCCATGAACAGGTGCTGGAATGGGCCGAATAATTAAACCCAACCCAAAAAATCAGATTTGTATTTGCATAGGACTCTTCTTCTTCCCGCGTGCAAAATGACGGCGTGCCATGATTGGTTCCGGTGGTTACTTGCAGTTTCCAACGCCAACTGCCTTCCTCTCCTTATTTTATTATTTTCCTCCCTTTTCTTTCTCTTTTCTTGCATCAGACATCGGTTTCCAAAATTTCCTTCTCCTTTCCACGCTCCAGACCAAAACTTCCCTCTAACTCTCCTCCCTTCGTTCTTCTTCTTTCTTCTCCATAAATTCAAATATACTGAAAGAGTGAAGTCAGGCCAAAATTGTTTACCTCCAGCCCGCTGAGAAGAAGACCCAAGTCGAACCCGACCCCGTCGTTCCATCTTCGTTCCAAAGGAGCCCGTTCGTCGCTGCTGGAAAGGTCCTCCTTTGTGCGAATTTTGCCTTCAAATCCCTGGTTTTCTTCTATTTTTGGGTGCATCCAACGTCATCCCTTGGAAGATTTAACAAGGTATCCTCTCTTTCTTCCAATTTCCCTTAGATGATTGGAGAATTTGTTGGGTTTCTCATACCCATAGATGTTGTCTTTTGTTTTGGCAGCCAAATACCCAAAACCCCTTTTCTACCCATCTTGTTTCCACTGCACCATAGTGCTCACGGAGTGGGTGCTAGCAAGGAAGGGTCTGCGCCATTGTCTAGGTTTCTTCCTTCGTTGATTTTGCTCGAGCTGCCGGAAAGGTAAATTTTTTTTCTTGTTGGCTTGGGTTTCTCCCCCCTTCTTTTCGTTTTTATTTTGCACGGGCTTCTCCTTTTGTGTGTAAGGGCTGATTTGGCATGACGTGCTTTCCCTTTGTTTGTTTTTTGTGCAGGTACACGCATTTTGGGCATAGGTAGGTGCTGGAAACCCTTGACATTTTGCTGCTGGAACCTTCAAACTCTTCAGTCTTCTAACTTAGACTTTGGCAATAACTCTGCTAACTCTGAGTATTTTAGAATAGGTGTAGACTGATGCTTGGCCTAGGCTCTCTTTTTTTTCTTTTCTTGAGAAACACATGCTTGATCGATTATGGAATTCTGCGTGTGTTGCCTGTGGAGGAAAATAATTGACAGAGTGCATGTTTTGTACTGCCTGGCTGAATTTTTTATTTTTTATTTTTATTCTGAGAAGGGACTTGCTTGTCCTGCTTGTTGATCACAAAGCGAGACTCTTACTTGTCATGAGCTTGAATTTTAAATTGCATGTTTGCTTGGATAAACTCAACTAGCCACGTATTTTACGTGTGCTGATTCTATTTTGCTTCTTTCCATATTTCTATGCGCAGGTACCCATTATGGCATCCGGTAATCCACCATTTATCATAAGGGATCATCTTTACTCCGTAGATGACAGGTTGAAGAGAGGGAGACCTCCTCCTTTGCTCAAGGGTGCCGACGAGGATGTAATCATTGATGAAGAACCAGCGCCAGAAGCTACTTCAGTGATTGATCCTGCATCCGTATCAAGGTGCTGCATAGAAAGGGGTCTGTTTCCGGCAGTTCCTTTGTTCTTTCAATATCCCTGCAGCATCAGCAAGGGTTGGTCGGAGTGGGTTGATGCTGAACTGAAGAGCCCATCTACCCGTGATATCCTAAGCCGGGCAGGGCGTGTTGGAAGCCATCTTTGCTTCTAAGGCTTGCGACATCCATATTGAAGCCAAGACGCTTCGACACTTGGTTAGACGGTGGAGCACTGAGACGCACACTTTTATTTGTTCGTGGGGAGAGTTCACTCCCACGCTTGAGGATGTAGCTAATATTTTCCATCTCCCACTTTGCGGCAGCCAAGACCCTTTCCATATTGCATTAAACCCGGAAGATGGGCTAAAGCTTGAAACTTTGCGGAAGGGTGCTCCGACCTCTCCTAGTACCTCTCTGAGATTCAGTAATTGGATTCAGTTTTTCGGGAACAGTGATCGAGACGAGCCGTGTCGCCTTGCTGCGTTCGTGTCCTTGTGGCTCGGGAGGTTCCTCTTTTGTGATTTTTCTCAAGACTGCTTGCATGGGAGAGTGTTTCCGTTGGCTTTGGCAATAGCACGAGGTAGCATGATCCCTTTAGCCCCCATGTTCTTGGGGCACTTATATCGCTTGCTTGACCAGATTCAATTTCTTGAGAAGGGGGCGGCCGGAACCATGGCTGTGGAGACTTTTGTAAATTCCAGTTTTCTGCAGATCTTTTTATGGGGAACGCTTCAGAGGGATAGAGGTATCTCCACTCCCTTATTCAAAGGCTGAGTCACTGGTTGCTTCGGACGAGGATTCCTACGTGCCGGGTAGTCTTCCTCTGATCTGTAGATGGTTCCGTCGCATGCAACGGAAGGGCCAAAATTTTTAGAGCTGCTGGACGATGTTGAGCAATTTATTTTTCGCCCCTATTGTGCCTCATCAGAGGGCTTTAGAAGTATGCCCTTCTATGCTGATTCTGCTGCTTTAATGGAGGCCCTGGCCACGCCAACACAAGGTTGTCGGTTACGCAGAGAGGCATTGTTGAGTGCCGCATGCCTCCCTCTGCCCACATTCGGTGATGACCACTTGGAGACTTCTGTGCATTATTCCCCTTACCGGGTTAGACGACAGCTTGGGTTTGACCAAGGTGTGCCCTCTTCTCCCAACCATGGAGATTCCTCGAGCTTGCACAGGGTTTTCTGGACTGGTGACAGCGTGCCGGGAGACGGCAGGCCTCTTGCCCTTGCTCTGGCCAGCCGGAAACGCGTTGGTGGTCTCTCAAAGGCCTACCAAAATTATTGGAACCGCTGCTTTGCCTCGTTCAGCCGATTCCATGCTGCCCATTGTGATAGCTTGATTCCCACCGTCATTCATCATGCCCGTTTAGTGTCGGAAGAGAAAGCCATTTCCTTGAGCGAGAAGCGAAATCTGCCCTTTATCTCCAAGAGTGGGAGAAATTGTTGGTGATTTTTCGAAGCTAAAGCGGAAGTTGGAAAAGTCGGGTTCTCATAGTGCCGGGAAGAGTGTTGCACAGGGGAACGGAAGCGTGAGGAAAGCTGCAGCGCCGAGAAAAGGCAAGCTGTGAAAGAACCGAAAAGGTTCATCCCCAAGGTAGCGGCAGGTGGTCCTCCAGCTCAAGAAAGGTTGCCTTGCCCGAGTCCTTACAGCAGCAGCCTACGGCTTCCGGCAGCAGCGAGCGAGCAGTTCTAACAGCTTCATCTCCTCACAGTAAGTATTGCTATTTGTTTGCTCCCTTTGTTCCCGCTCTTTGCGTATATATAAGTATCCCTTTCATCTTATTTTGCAGGTACTTTCCAAAGTAAAGGCAAGGGTAAGGGGTTTTCCGTGACCCCGAAACGTCGAAGCATGCGTATTCTTGAAACGCGGTTTGCTAATACCCGAAAGAATAAGGGTGAAGACTCGGGACCCAAAGTAGTGGTGACGGTTGATGATAACAGTGATGATGATAGGGATGCGACGGCGCTGCGGGAACTGAGGCTAACATTCATGAGCAAGAGAGTGCTCACGATACGAGTGGCATGGACGAGGACTTTGATGAAGGCCCAATACGATAGTCACGACGAAGACACCTATCCGGCTTTCGGCACTAGCTTGGGGGAGTTCGATGACCCAGATACGACTCCCGCTTTGACTGGCGATCATGGACAGCGTGTCGATATTGAACTGGTATCAAATATCCCTCTTGCTTGTTTTGCTTCGGAATATTGACATGGCATGCTGCCCGTTGTGTCCTCTAGCTCATACTCCGTCTTTCTTCTGCAGGTCGTGCCGCCATTGAAGGCACGATAGGTGCTTCATCGGAGGCTGATTTTGCCCTTCCCATACTGTCGCTGAAGTTGTCCTGAGCCTTCCGGCAGTGCAAACCTCCTCCTTCTCCTGACCCATGTACCTCTGACATGGCTGCTGATGCCTCTCCACTACTTCCAACAGTTCCTCCTCCTATTTCTCCAATTCCGAACGTACCTGCCATAGCTTCCGGCACTGCTCTACTTCTTCCAGCAGCACATCCCCCTACTCTCCCAATCTCGAGCACACCTGACATAGCTTCCGGCACCACTCCACCTCTTCCAGCAGCACATCTCTGTGATAAGAATGTTGGTGCTTTTATCGCAGGTTCCTCAAAAGGGCCTTCATTCGAGAAAGGCATGTCTTGGCAAGATTGGGAGAATTCCTACACGGCATTCAAAGCCTTCTTTGATGGTGGTGTCACCATTCTTAGATCCATTGATGAAATCTTCCGCTTTGCCACAGATTCGATGGCTATGCAACATTCCAAGGCGCCCTTGTGTATCCAGAGACGGTTGGAGCCTTGAAAAAGTTCATGGACAAATACGGGAGTTTGCTGGGAAGCTACAGATGTCACCTCCTCTTTCTCAAGGGGTACTGCCCTTCGAGCGCTTGGCTTAGTACTTCATGGGATGGACACCATGCAACTCCTTGATATTACAGATCATAAACTGCTCTGTTGGCGAGATGCAATATGCGAGGCCATGATTCTGGGCTTCCCTGTGGAATTTCTCCTTAAACTCGTGAAGAGCTTAGCACGTGCCGTTTTTGGAGCACGGGCCATTCGTAGTATGCAATTATCGCACGATTCCGATGAAGTAAAAGCTGCTGCAGATGCCTTGAACATTAAACAACAGGAGTTGGAAAACCAGCGCCGGGAGATGCATGCCCTTCTTCTTGCTAAGGGAGTTTCTGTTGACAGCGCTGAGTGCGTGACGGAGGCAGCAGCCAGATTATCTCCTGGGGCTTCCTTTGTTCTTTTTGGACATTCCCCATAGCCTACAGGTACTCAGCTTATCCATTATATTTTTTTATATTACGTATTCCAGCAGCAGCTATTTTTTTGACACACATTTTCTTTTATCTTTTGCAGATTGCCCATCCTTGGCTTAGTGACCATTTAGCTTGGCTCGTGATCCTGCTTTTCTTCGTGACTTAAGGGCGCGTGAACCTTCAGCAGATGCAGCTTTATTTTGCTTTGTTTGTAGTGTTGTTTTTTTTTCTCTTTTGAGACTCTAACGACTACGTCGTTATGCCTTTGTAATTTTGATATTAAACTACCGAAGCTTGTATGAATTTCTGAATGCTTGAGGCATGTTGCATATTTCCGGTGTAGATATGTATATATACTGCTTTGTTGGCCAGAATTGTCTTTATGGACTGCTTGACATTTTTGACAGGTTGGATATCATTGAAAACAGGGTATATGCTGTCAAATTTTTTTTTAGAAACCGAGTCTTCGAAAGCTTCTTTTGCATGGCTTATCTAGATTCTAAGCTTGACAAAATAGCTTCCCACCTTTCCCAAAGGGTCGATCCAACATGTGCATGATTTCTAGCCGAGCTTTATAAAGCTTCCAGGTGTTATATCGTATCGTTCCAGCATCTCAGAATTGCATATTTCTATGCCTTATGCTATTATTATTTTTTTTGCTTAAGCGTGATGCTTGGGGACCCCATCTAAATGACTTTGCCCGACATGTTTTACTGCTAAGTAGCATGTTTATATATATATATATATATGGAAAATTTGATAAAGGATTAATAATAGTACGGTTTTGGAGACATAATATATATTTTTCAAAATATTCCTTCATCTTCATTGCAAAAGCCCTTGCTACCATAATGGTGCATCATACAAAAGTGTCTTTTTTTCCAAAACGTGAAAATAAGACAGAAGGAGTCTTTTTTTTTTTTGACAGAAAGAAAATACAAAAGTACTAGGCATAAAATTAACTTAGCAGTAATAGAGCTTGAGCCACTTCCCATTGACGGGGTCGGTTAGCGTGCCTTCTTTGACAGAGACCAAGCGATAATAGCCACTGCTGTGAACCTCTTTGACTGCAAACGGGCCTTCCCATTGTGGCGCAAACTTGGAAGGTCCCGACACTTGTCTTCTCACATGCTCCGCAACTTTTAGCACGAGGTCTCCTTGCTTGAAGGCGCGAGGCTTAACTGTCCTGTTATAGGCTTGAGCTACGGTTCTGTGGTACAATGCTGTCTTCTTTTCGGCTACCGCTCTTTTTTCATCCAAGGCTTCAAGGTCCAGCAGGCGCCATTCCGAGCATGACTTTGTATCCCATTCAAGGTCGTTAACAGCTGCTGTTCTGGCAGTGGGGATGGTAATCTCTACTGGTGAAATGGCATCGGACCCGTACACAAGTGAATATGGCGAGAAACCTGTGGCACTTCTTGAAGAGGTGCGGTAGGCCCATAAAGCATCCGGCAGGTGAACACTCCAACCTCCTTCATACTCATAAACCATTTTGCTTAGGATCCTCAATAAAGTCTTGTTTGTGGCTTCCGCTTGACCATTTCCTTGTGGATAATAAGGCGTGGAGCGGCGATGCTTGATACCATAACCACTAAGTGTCGAGCTTACTTGCTTATTGACAAACGGGGTGCCATTGTCAGTGACAATCTTGTATGGGATCCCAAATCTGCATACAATATTTTCACGGATGAAATTGGCAACGGCAGCTCCCGTGGCCTTCCGCAAGGGAACCGCTTCTACCCACTTTGTAAAATATTCGGTGGCCGTGATGATCCATATGTAGCTGTCGGATGGTGGATGAATAGTCCCGATCAAATCAAGCCCCCAAGTATGGAAGGGCCAAGGGGTGCGCATGTCTTGCAGCAGCGTGGGAGGCTTATGGCTTAAATTGGCGTGAACTTGACATGTGTGACACCTCTTCACAAAGTCGTATGCATCATTCTTCATTGTAGGCCAATAATACCCAACACTCAGCAGCTGCCGGTAAAGCTTCTTCATTCCTTGGTGTTCACCACATTCTCCAGCATGAATCTCTTGCATGACTTGCTGTGCCTCTGACTTTCCCAAGCATTTTAATGGCTCACCATTAAACCCCTTACGGTAAAGAGTTGACCCATCTATGAAGTATCTTTTCATTGTCCTTTTGAGCTTGCGTGCATGCTTGGGATTGGTTGGCAGGACTCCATTGACGAAGGATGCCAAGTATGGAGCCCTCCAATCCTCCGCAAATGAGACGGTGAACGATTCCTCGGTGGAAGGTATTTTTGCACACTTGGGACAATTGGCTTGTATTTCAGCTGCTTGTTTCCTCATTTCTGGCCAGTAATAACCCTTGCGCTGCAGGCGCCGGTACAAGCTGATTATTGGCTCCAAATTGCAAGTGACCTCATGTACCTCTTGAAGCTTCTCCTGTGCTTCTGTTATCCCTATGCAGCGGGTCAAAATACCTCCCGGAAGGCGTCTGTACAGTTCCCCAAAGATGATCACATAATCCTTCAATTCTTTGATGTTGCTTCCTTTGCCTATTTTTCTTTCACAAGCTTCCTCCAGTCATCCTCTTCCAGCCGCTCCTCTTGAGCCATTGCTTCAACAACTGGTATGTCCTTCTTGATTACTGCAATATTGGGCTGTTCGTCAATAAATGAGAGCCTTGACCCCAAAGTGGCCAACGCATCAGCATATCTATTAGTGACTCCCGGGATATGTTCCAACACAACTTGTTTGAACGAACGAACAAGCCTTTCAGCAGCTGTACGATATGGTGCCAATGCTGGTTCCTTCACGGCGAAATTTCCTTGTAATTGACTCAGCACCAAGTTTGAATCCCCAATAATTTTAATTCTTTCGACACCCATTTCCCTTGCTGTAGACATCCCTGCAATAAAAGCTTCGTACTCTGCCGTATTATTCGTGCATGGGAAATTTAGCTTAAACGAGAGGGCCGTAGCTTGCCCCTCGGGATTGACAAGCACCACACCTGCCCCTCCACTCTTCGATGTAGAAGACCCATCGAAGTAGAGGGTCCATGGTTCTGCCTCTGTGACAACAGCAACCATTTCCGGCAGCTTCCCCAGAACTTCCTTAGAGATTGTTGATTCTTCAACTTCGGGAAATAGAGCCAACATGTCAATAACGGCCTGCCCTTTGATGGCTTTTGGAGTAGTGCAGGTGATATCGAACTCGGACAGCTGTAGCAACCAACGTGCAAGGCGTCCGGATAATATCGGCCTTGTAAGCAAATATCTTACGGGATCAGACTTCACCATGAGATGTAGCTTGTGAGCAAGGAAGTAATGTCGCAAGCGCTGTGCAGCATAGACAAGAGCAAGGCACAAAAGTTCAGTTTTCGGATATCTTACTTCAGATCCCCTTAGTTGCCTACTTACGTAATAAATAGGACTTTCTTCCCCACTATGATCATCTTGAGCAAGTAAGGCCCCAACCGCTGTGTTTGTTGCAGCCAAATAAAGCTTGAGAGGCAGCCCCGGAATAGGTGCTTTCATAGTGGGCAGCTTGGCGATTATTTGTTGCACCTTCTTGTAAGCTTCTTGGCACTTCTCACTCCATTCATACCTCTTGCCTTTCTTGAGCAATGGAGTAAAAGCACTCATGGTGGCAGCAAGGCCTGGGATAAAGCGCCGAATATACGATAATCTTCCCATAAAGCTTTTCAATTCTTTTGGGCTTTTAGGCGGTGCAAGAGAATTTATGGCTTTAGTCTTTTCTGGATCCACATCTATGCCACGCTGGTGTACTTGAAACCCCAAGAATTTACCAGATGAAACCCCGAACGCACACTTCTTTGGATTCATCTTCAAACTGTACAGCCGACACCTTTCCAGCACTCTCCTTAAAACTTCTTGATGGCCTTCTCTGGTTTTGGACTTCACCACAAGGTCATCCACATAATCTTCAACTTCTTTTCCCATCATGTCGTGAAACACCGCTGTCATAGCTCTTTGGTAGGTGGCGCCAGCATTTTTGAGGCCGAACGGCATGACCGTATAATAAAAATTCCCATACGGTGTTCGAAAGGCTGTCTTTTCAGCATCCTTGGGAGACATCTTGATCTGATTGTAGCCACTAAACCCATCCATGAATGACAACAAGCCTTGACCCGAGGTCGAATCAATTAAGATATCCATGTTTGGCAGCGGGAACTCATCCTTTGGGCAAGCTCGGTTGAGATCTCGATAATCCGTGCATATTCTGATCACACCGGTTTTCTTCTTCACAGGGACAATATTTGCTAGCCACGTAGGATGCTTGATTGGTTTAATAAATCCGGCAGCTAACAACTTTTCAATTTCTACCTTGATTTGCTTCTCAACTTCAGGATGAAAATTCCTTCTTGCCTGCACGACAGGTTTTGTACCAAGCTCAATATTCAGAGTATGACTTACTAAGCTTGGGTTCAGACCAGGCATTTCCTCATAGCTCCAAGCGAACACATCTCGAAATTCCTTTAGCAAAGATATCAAGGCCGCCCTCTCCTCATTTGTTAAATGAACACTTATGGAAATGGGCCTCGGGGCAGAGGGATCCTCACTCAAATCAATTGTTTCCAGCTGCTCAGCTACTGCTGACGATCCATCTTGCATGTGTCTGGGTGCTGCCATTGGCTCCTGGAAAGCACAAGGCAAGGGTGCCTTGTCGTTGGAACTCCCACAGCTATTTGTTTGCATTACTTTTCCTCCATACTCGGGGCTTTCCCGTAAGACACGGTCAAGCCCCCAACCCCGTCATAAGCGGTACACGATACGTCCATCGGGCAGCGTCACTTTTGAGCATTGGGGATGATCATAGGCATGGTTGTTGACTTCCGAGTGCCTCTTTCTCTCTCGATCGACAATGGTGATGAGCTCCTCATTGCTTAAATCACGAATTTCAGTCCATGAAGGAAGGTAGGTCCCGAAATCCTTGGATGGATTGCTTCCAGCACCTGTGCATTCAGTGTAGAACTCTGCTTCAGAGTAGTGAGCTTCATCTTTGTTGAAAGGTGCTTGGTTTCCAGGTATGCGTAGCGGCCTCAGCCCAATCCTTCCTTTTACGCATTGATGATAGGTAGAGACCACAAGCTTATGCTTGTTGAGCCATGGCCTTCCAAGCAAAGCATGGTAAGCCACATCCACATCCACAACATAGAACTTAGTAAGTGACCGAATTGGTCCAACCTTCAAATGTACTTGTAGATGCCCGACTGTGACCTCACTCTTATTCCCGAAACCACTGATGCTTGTTTGTGATTGGACAATTTTGGACAATGGGATACCAGCTGCCGTAAGCACAGACAGAGGTAATATGTTGACAGAGGAACCCGTGTCCACCAAAGCTCTCCTTATGAACACATCATTGATCTGTCCCTCCAAGTAAAGCGGCCTCCTATGGTCCGGGTATGGGACTTCCATGTCTTCGTCCGTAAAGACAATAGCGTTGTCATTTCCCAAGAATGACCTTTGTGGTTGAGTTGTAAAGCATTGAGAATTAGACTCCTCAGAGATATTCATCAGGGCTACAGCAGCTGCTTCTCTTGCTTGAGGCCCGAAGCCAAGTTGGTCAAAAAGTGATTTGAACTTTGGATTTCTTTGAAGGACCTGTGAAGCTGTGGGCCCCTGTTTCATGCTTAAATAACGTTCCATCACACTTGTTTCAGCTTCCGTGATATTGTGAAATGTCACGGCAGCTGCTTCCTGCTGCTCCGATAAAGCCCCCGAGTAGCGTTCTTCCGGCATGTCCAAGACAAAAATTTCGCTGCCTGAGTTGTCACCCCATCCATCAGCGAGTGGCCATGGTGTGTTGTAACTTGAAGGCCTCGAATATTTACACCAATATGCCTTTTCCATGTTTCCGCAAGGTTCCCATATGGCTTCCGGCGGCTTTGGGTCATTCCTCCAAGGGTGGCACAATTCATTATCATCAAGCAAATCATCAGAACATGTAATGACAGCGGCTACCTCCTTTCCCCTTCGTTTTGGCAAGGGGTCTTCATCAATGGTTTGCTTCCTAGAGGGAAGTTCAAGGACTCCCTCATGTATTTTGGCGTGTAAAATCCTCCTCAAGCTCTGACAGGCAGTGGTTGGATGCCCCACAAATTGATGATAACGGCAGTACCTAGGATCATTCTTTTCCTCTCGAGTAGGAACCTTGTAGGGTCTGACAGGTTTGATTACGCCATCAGCAATCATTGTGTCAAGGATAGCATGAAATTCTTCATCTTTGCATGGTAGTGGTGGATACGTCTCTCTATCCTTGCGTTTGCGTGAATTGTAGTCGTTGGATGGCTTGTCATCTATTGCTAATGTCTGATGCGCTTCCTTCTTCTCATTCCTCCAAGTCCTTTGTCCTGGTGGCCTGACGGACATGCTCGTCTTCCTCACAGCTTCCAGCAGCCGAGAAAATTGACTAATGCCAATATTCTCCAAATACACTCTATAATCTGCCACGATATTGCTGATGCAAATCTCAACAAGCGCCTCCTCGTCCTTCTCATCATAGCAATCTAATGCCAGGTCCCGGAACCTGCGTACAAAGTCCACAGGATCCTCACCATGCTTTTGGCGGGTGTTGTTGAGTTGAGTGGTGGTGACTCGTTCTTCATGCTGGAAATACTTCTTGCAGAACCTGCTTGCCAGACTTTCCCAGGAATGAATAGAGCCTGATGCCAACGTTGTATACCATGTGTAAGCACGATCGGTGAGACTCTTTGAAAATTCTCTAAGTCGAAGATTATGATCACCAGCATACGGTCCCAAGGCATCGATGAAGCGATTGACATGCTCCTTCGGGCTCCCCTTTCGTCCATCAAAGAGGACAAAGGTCGGTGCTTCATAGCCTTTAGGATATGGCTGCTGGAGTAAGCTTGATGGATACGGCGGCTGAGGAAGATACTTCCAATCTTCCTGACTTCGACTCAGCTCCTTTTCCAGCATGGCAACAACGTCCTCCTGAGTGACAAAAGATGGTCCCTTCTGCTCAGACTCCTTTCCGGCAGCAGCAGATTCCTCCTGTGGGTGCTTCTCATTCACTTCACTTGGCTTTGGAGCCGAATTTTTGAGTTCTTTTATCATTTCTGCCATTTCCCTCTGGGTGTCACCCATAGCACGGATGGCTGCAACAAGATCTGTGAGGGTAAAAGTTCCCTCACTTGCACGTTCTTCTTCTCTAGAAGAGGCATGTTGCCTTGACTCTGAGTCAGCATGGCTTGGTCCATCCTGGGAAGTTATGTTGTTGCTTCTGGTCTTCTTTCTTGGAGGCATTGATGAAGGTAATGGCTTAATCCCCAGCAGAGTCGCCAATTTATGTAGGGGACTTTTTCTTCCTGCAGCTAACGGGCTGGGCTGCTGCAAAAGGTGGACTGAGGAGATTGCCCCTTTTCGTTTAGGTTCGAAAATTAAGCCTCAAAATACCTCGAAAGGGCAGCGAAACCTTAGGAGATATTTTGAGTAATCTTCACCAATGAGAATAATAGTGACTTACAGATAATTTTTGCATGCTTTCAGATGGATTTTAGGCTCAGCATGAGTGGCATGAGGCATGGAGAGCAAAACCAACATGGGTTTAGCACTAAGAGAGAAATTAGGCTTGGTTTATGAGGAATGAAAGTGTTTAAGTAAGGAATGGGGTGTTTTGTGAGGAATTTTGGCTAGAAAAAGAGAAAGAGAGAGACAGGGTTCTTCCAGCAGCTACCAGAAGAACAAATTGGAGAAGAAGATGAACAGTGCACGAATCTAAGTTTTGCAAGATAGAGAGAAAAGCTTGCTCTCTGCAGGTTGTGAGTTGTGTTTGTTGGGTAGGGGAAGGCTTAATTTATAGCTGCCGGAAATCACCATTTTTCAAGAAACCCTAATGGCTCCTTCTTACTTTGGCTGAGATTTTCTTCCTTTCTCCTCCCCTTCTCTGACTTCCCTTTCTTGGCAAAGATGGCTTCTGTCTATCTTCATGAATTTAGGAGATTTTGGGGCTCAACATCCCTCTTTCCCGCGGCTACGCAGTGAGGGCTTCCACTCTTAGTTTGCTGTTTTTCTTCCTTTTCTTTCTTCTTCTTTGGCTGAATCTGATGAAGGAAAGGAGGTGCAAATGTATGCTGGTCCAAGGGATGCTTCTGACAGCATGCAGGATGGTATTCATCGGTTCTTTGGATGTCTCTGGCTTGGGACTGGTTTCCAGCAGCTTACTTAAGGAGCCTGCCATCTACTCCTTCACGTGTTCTCTGTTTTTCAAAAAAAAGGCTGAAGCTCTTGTGGGCCTTTTTGGGTTTTTCTAAGGGCCAAGATGGCTTTCTTAAGCGAATGGGCTTATTGGGCTTGATTTGGGTTTATTATTATTTTTGGTTGGGTTATCTCTTGGCTAGGTTATTTTGCTTGGGCTTTTGGGCTATTTTTTCTCTCTTGTGCCTACCCACATGTTTGGGCCTAAGAAATGGGCCTGAGTCTCGAGGCTCCCAAGCAACCCGAGACTTTCCATTTCTTGGTCCATCAATGGGCCTCATGTTGATTTATCACCATCCATGCCACAACCCACTCAAGCAAGCCCCGGGTCTTTTTTGAGTGGCTTGGGCCCACCTAGGCTTGTAGCGTGGTTGGGTGCGAGATAACGGCATGGCATGTTGCTCGGCATATTTTACCTTATCGCCCTTGGGAAGGATTGTTTTAATTTTTTAGCATGATTATATTTTATCATAGCATGATAATTTGTTTATTTAGCGTGGCGTGTGGGTTATAACTTGCATGCGATAGATCCCTTTTTTCTTTTCCCTTATGGAATATTGTATTGGGCTGATAATTGTTCGGGCCCAATCCATGGATTTTTTGGGCCTCAACAATAAGCATACCAATTCACACCCAAAACTAGAATTTTGGCAAACCTTAGTCTAAGCACACAAAAGCCGCCGCAGTCAACAAGAGGACATGGAGCGCACCACCGCTGTAGAATCACCAATTCCACCAAGGTTGAACCCACCTATGCCCCACAGAGAATGCAGCAACCAATCAAAGCAAAACCAAGGGAAATTAAAACCTGAAGTCCAAAGAATCAAGAAAGTGGAAGAAGGTGGTGCAATGTCACATCCCGGATCGGCTCCACCGTAGCACGATATTGTTCGCTTTGGGTCCCCACCCTCACAGTTTTGTTTTTTGGAACTCACAAGCAACTTCCCAGTGGGTCACCCATCTTGGGATTGCTCTAGTCCAAACTCGCTTAACTTCGGAGTTCTCATGAAATCCAAAGTCAGTGAGCTCCCAAAAGACTTCGTGCTAGATGGAGATGGGTATGTACATATAAGGCACATCACCCTCTCTCCGTTGGTCAATGTGGGATGTTACTATCCACCCCCTTAAGGGCCCAACATCCTCGTCGGCACACTCGCACCACACGGCAAAGGGGCTCTGATACCATTCTATCACAATCCCGGATCAGTTTCGCCATAGCACGATATTGTCCGCTTTGGGCCCCCACCCTTACGGTTTTGTTTATGGGAACTCACGAGCAACTTCACAGTGGGTCACTCATCCTGGGATTGCTCTATCTCAAACTCGCTCATGGAATCTGAAGCCAGTGAGCTCCCAAAAGGCCTTGTGCTAGATATAGGTGGGTATGTACATATAAGGCACATCATCCCCTCTCCGTTGGTCAATGTGGGATGTTACATGCAAGCACCATAGTAAGAGCTCTATACACCTTCCGATGGGAACGCGAGAGATCGAGTTTTGGATTAGCTGCTGCAACCTCCAGAAGAGGTCAGATCGAAGAGGGAGAAACGTAATCCAATGGGAAGATAGATTAGGGTCATCTTCCTTGTCTTCAACGGATTCATGATGGTATACATAATTTTCAAATGCTTTATCATCCTTTTCCAACAACTTACATTCATTTTCACTCTGCTCATGAGCAATGTCAACAAGGGTCATCTTCCTTGTCTTCTTCTTCAGTGTCTTCATTCCTGTCTTCCACATTAGTATCACATATATCAGCTCCATTACCCTTATTGTTCAAGGGCCCATCATCATCACTTAAATCCCAATCTTGAACTGTGCAACCAGATCCATGATCCTCAGTAAAAGGCCTCCCCTCTTTATCATTGTTCAGTGACCCACTGCCTTCAGTAAAAGCCCCATTTTCATCATTGTTTAGTGACCCAATATCCTTAGTAGCATGCCCAATATCCTCATTCAAAGCCACACCTTCCTCTTCACTATCCTCATTCAAAGCCATAACTTCCTCTTCACTATCCTCATTCAAAGCCACACCTACCTCTTCACAATCCTCATTCACTGTAACACCTTCCCCTTCAGTGTGTTGTGCATAAATTAGCACCACTCTCTGATAAGAAAGTGGTACCTTATCACCCAAACTTAACAGCTCACCATCCGTGTCTATATCCACTAACTCATCATTTGCTACTCTTTTAAATGATATTTTCCCCATGTGCCCAAGCAGTTTCACTTGCTCCCATATCTCTAACATATTTATATACTCTATAAGACACCAATCCAAATATCCTATAGACCTTCAATATAACACCACTTGTTGTGTTTGTTTTTCACAATTCTACCACCATGATGCACTTCAAAAGTCACCAACTCTTTGTCCTCTACACACAAACAAAAAAGGTTTGTCTTTAAGAACTGCAAACCAGTATTCTAAGCCAATCATTAAAAGCAAGACAACAAACATGGTTCGATTAACATATTCAAAGCCAACTACAAGAAAACAAAAACTAGACCACATCAGGAAAGGTATACTGCATTTGAACCCACTCTCCCGACAACATATAACACAAAAAGACCTAAAGACTATCCATTTCTACACAACGCGCATCACTATCAGAACAACATTCTTTTCACATAGCATGACAAGATTCCTTTTCAAAAAACAGGTCCCTTTTCAGAAGAATCACTTACCCTACATAGGTTACATTTCTCCTGCTTCTCACCAAACGGGCATCATCATTGAGTCGCATCGCTTCTTCTTGCCTTCAAGATTTCGAAACCAACTCACAGCGCTCTCCTTCTCTCGATCGTGTGTTCAAACCCTATATCTAAAATCCCCAAATCTCAATTTTCCCTCCCAAGCTGATTTCTTTTTTCCCATTTTGAGTTTTCAGAGATTCCTTTTTTATAGTGGTTGTTTTGTTAGAGATGAGGTCCACAAATCCACATCAATAGGCCCAACGATCGTTTTATCTTCTTAGTTGTTAGAGGTGGGGTCCACAAGTACACGTCACAACCTCAGATTGGTGGGAAAAATCTCATCTCAGTTTAATTGACGAATATGCCCCTACCACGTCATCATTTTAATGGAACTTGGGATAGCGTTGACGAAAAGTGGTTAAGTGACACACAAAACCTTAATCAAGGGGACAAAGTGGGTCACGTAAACTTTGAGGGGGTTAAGTAGGAATTGACCAATATTTTAGAGGGCATTATAGTACTTAAGCCTTTAAAAAATTATTCATTGTGCCCGAGTCCTTCAAACTTTTCTTTCTTTTATCGTCCATTATTTGCCCTCCATTGCCATTTTCAAATCAGCCTTCATAATTGAACCGTCATAAAATCCTATCAATTTTGTGGTTCAAATTCAATGATATATGGTATTGACTTTTGGAAGTTTATTCAACTTATGGGTGGCCAGTTTCATCTTAGAGTTGTAATACAACCCAGGTTACAAGTTATCTATCTGCAAACAAAACTAAAACAGGAAAATTTAGAAAATTTGTTAGAAAAGTCGAAACAAAACAAAACTTATTGGGTGGCATTCAGCCGACTCAAAGTTTACGAATTTTCTAGTCTTGGATTGTATTTTTGCTGGTTGTTCTAGTCTTGCTTTTAAGCATTGATTTGTTGTCATATGTGGTAATCTTTTTTGAATCCCGAACTTCTATATTTACATACATTTATAAATAAATAAAAATTAACCATTGAATTAATCTAATGAATTTTTATCAGTCCACATCAGCATAATTCTATTAAACTAAACATCACCTTTTGCACCTAATTCTTTAGCCTAACACCAGATCCGCTTCTTTCCCTCTCTCCCTTGTTGAACTTTTCTTTTTTGGGTCGAAATGGTGTCATTGAACAACCCAAACGGGAAGGGACAATACAGAAACAAAAGCAAAGGAATACAAGCAGAGTTTAATGAAACAAATGGGCACCCAAAATGCACCTTGTAAAAACATGATTTCAGAAATTTACCTTCTATCCTCGTCAATGGCCGGTCGTCGGAACCGCTGGGGTTCGAATTCTTGTGTAAGGTTTTG